CTACTGGTTTAAGTAAGCTCAACGATAAAGTTTAATGGATCCGCCATATTTTTTAAAATAATATTTCCTTTATACCTAGTCCGTGGAATGGCGTGGAACTGCATATTTAGAAGTTAATTAAAATTCAGCACAGAAATAATTCTGCATTTACCAAAAAGTCGGTTTTATTGTAAATGTGGGCTAAATTGGGCACTAACATAATAATGAACCGCGATAAAAGTAGCCACTCACTGTGTTATTCGATTTTGAACTTTCCCTCGAGGCATTACGTTTGGTATTATTACAGTAACATAAGTTTTCACCCCTAAGTAACAAAATAAATACTGTAATCTCATGCACATAATATGTACGTTTCGTTCGCCTTTTGGCTTCGTTCCAGCCCATTTGCTGCACTAAACGGAATTACCACTCCCGAACGAGAGGGTGTTGGAATTTACGACAATATGCCTTCGCCTAATTGATAAAAAAGATTTTCTAGAAAAGTAAACTCTATCACTGAAGCGTAAGGCATTCTAATTATTTCTACTAAAGCTGACTGTGCTACAAATTTTCGACTGGGCTTAAAACAGCAGGATGAGTTATTTCAGTAGACTTATAGAAATTCCTGTATTTGTATATTTCAGAAAAGTCTTTATGTAAATTGCTTTACAGCTTCATGACTATTTTATGAGCATTTACGAATCATTCTGACATAAAATAGGAATCTGTAAAATATCTTGTTGTATTTCCTTGTTCTTGTTTTTGGACGCTGAATTATGAATGATTTGGGTATTCAGCTGTTTGTTTACCGAATAAAATAACTGCTTAAGATTCCTGAAACGGCTAAGCTTTTTGTGCCAACCATTTTTTGTACAAAGGCATGTGCTGCTCATTATAATAAAACTTTGATACTTGAGTAGGCAGTAGGTAGGTAGTACTTTTCAGACTCCATTTTCAAACAGTAGTTCTTTTCTGAAATAATAATGAGCGAGACAGTTAGCCAAGACTTAAAGTACAGAATTAAGAAACATTATAGGTACTCGAGAAAAGTAATCTCATGAAACTAGGTAAATGTAAAAACTTGAAAAGCAGTTATTTGACCTGTAAAACTTTTCCTCTCCAAGGACAATCGATGGGAAGTTGTGGACTTAAAATGCACTTAGTTAGAACTTTGGTCTAGTTGCAAAATAGTTCTGCACCACAGTGCGAACAAGGAATTCTAGCTATTGTAGAACTTAGGTACGTATAACCTTCATCCTTGATAGATCAATGGCCGAATTGATGCCATAATTGTTTTTCTTAAATATTTTAAAGGGTTGAGTTGTGAATCATTTTCATTGACTCTACATAATTATGTAATCACAAATTAATGCTCTCTTGAGCAATGCTTTGAGTATAAAGTGTCAATACTAGCTGGAAAAATATACAGTCAATGTTAAAAATACAGCTCACAGTACCAGTACATACAAAGACATCAAGAACGTGTAGGTACTAAAATCAAAATAATTTAGCCAAAAATATTATATTGTGACTTATAAATTCAGAAAAAATAAATAGATCACCGAAAGTAACATTATTTTCATTAAGTTTTAGCGCGTTCTGAGCATTAAATTACGTTTTCGAAGCTGGGATAAATCAATCGGTTAGTGTGTAACATTTTTTCACCCGACTGTATCCACTGCAGTGCACCATGCTTTATGCTCTTTGGCATTTGGCCCTTATTTGCTTTCACTGCGGAAGACTGCCGTATGATTACTGGCAAACAGACACGATAAACATGGGGACTGGTATTGAGATTGCACGAGTGATCACGATAGGGCCCGTATTGTGAAATGACATTCTAGCTCAGACGTAGGTTGGCTAGGTAATTATGAGTCTAGGGTTTAACTGAGTGCCTGAAGTATGGAAGCGGCACGGGAGGGGTGAATGTTTAAAAAATGTATGAAAATTTTAGTATTTGAACGTTTCCCGCTAGGGGCGCTGTACAATCCGTCATACATTAAATGTTATTTTTTGAAGCGCTCACTAGTAAGTGCGTTTGATGTAAACTCACACTAGGCCCTCTGAAGTCTCGCTGACGTTTCACATCACAAAAACACCCTCTCCTGTCGCTCAAATATTACCTCAGGCACTGACTTAGTTAAACGACCTATAGCTTATAAATTGGCTCAATCAAGAGTAGATTTCATCAGTAGGCCTAAGATGCGCGCCGTGACAACTTTTATCGACGACAAAATGTATGGGCAAAATCGATAAAATAGCGTGATAACCGCTTATCGCGGCGCGCATCTTAGGCCTAGGTACAGCTCGTAAGTGTTGAATTTGTTTAATTTTATCTACTTTTGAAACAACACTAAAACTCAATCAAGTTTGATTAATCATGCATAGGTAGGTGAATCAAGCCTGGGGCCGGTTAATTAAAATAATTAGACCAATCTATTTATGATAAACTAAAGACATAATCACAATTACTTATTCATGAATATACTTGTGCATTAATGGTAAGTAATGTAGGTATTCAGATATCAGACAAGATCACAACATTAATATTATTGTCATTATCAATCGATCAAATTATACTTTTCCGACATATTACGATAGCTCTTATTGGATATACCTACATACTATAAGTTAGGTACGTCTAGTAGTAATAGTTAATCTTCCCTAGGGCAGTACTAGCACTCAATACAATATGAATATCTAATTTATAAATATCAATTAAGCAATATTTGTATGTAATCAGATATCCTTATGTCTCTATACCGTGATGTATGTGGGCATAATGCTTACGAGTAGGTAACAATCCTAACTCTTTGGGTAAAACCTGACATGATGTCTTTAGATGACTGTTATGAATCAGTGACTCGTGTTTAATATTATGTCGTTTCATAACTAAATAGTCATTAAAATTACAGTAACCAGCCCTTTTGTGTTAACATAAACCCCAGTAATTGTTAGAAAGAACGAAATAAATCAAACGTTGCAATTTCCGAGTGCAACGCGGGGTTCCGTAGCGTGCCAAACGCGATTTTTGCAACCGATTCTAATCTGGGTACAGTCGACTTCAAAAGTCAATGTGCCTTTTAAAAACGTCTGTAAAATTACCGTGGAACTAAACGGTCATTTAGCCATTTACAAAGGTAGGTAATTGCGTTTGAACGTGCCCGGTGAAAACAATAGTTCAGAGTTTGTGGAATGGTTCTGCAAAACAAAGTGAAACCGTCAATAAACTTTGTTACCAACTGTACCAGTATTTATGTGCATTCCTTCACGGTTCTTCGTTAAATCAACTTTCGTAGGAAATTGCGCACCTGCCCTCATTGAATACTTCAAATTCAAATATTTTATTCAGTACATAGGTCCTTTCCAGGGCACTTATACTCAGATCTCTAATTATGTATAAGTATGTCATTTGTAAGCTTTGTAAATTAGATTTATTGTAGGCAATCATTGAAGTAATATTACTACGTAGTACATTATAACCCAATGTAGGCAATAGCAAGATTTAGTACAAAAGCAATTATATGAACTTGTAAAACTGGCTCACTTCACGCCCGGGAGCTAATTCTAAGTGGAATGGATAATAATTACTTATAAATAAATTACCTAATAGGTACACGTAATGGTTTAGCTCGCTCTATTTCATAGATTATATCGTACCTAATCATCGGGTGAGATTGTGATACAAATCTACTACAAATGAAGTCAGCGCCCATGGAAATTGTATTGTTTAAGCAGAGATGGAACTATCTGAGTATCCCAAATATTACTACACCACTTTGCAAACAAAGACAGCTCGGTATCAATGTTTATCAACTTTTTTTGTTGCAAAAATTGCCATTTTCTACGCTGACTATACATAAATCACAGATTTTATCATTTCCAAAACCTATTCACGCACGCAGACTATACGTGCACCTTTGAACAATGAAAGTAGCTGCAATTTAGGTAATTGAAAAGAAATTACGATTGCCATCTTGCAACAGCCAGTGACTCAACAGCTTATGTAAGGAATAGAACCTGCGACCGCATTGTGGTCGGTAGGATGAGGTGAGCCGATTTAGTGACAGGTTCTGGGTCTTACGTGTGATCTAGAATATTGTGTGTCATAATTTTAGATGACAAATATGGTGAAGCCATATAAATGTGAAGTGAATGGGTATGATATAGGAAGTAATATGTAGATGCGATTTCTTTAGAAAATAATGTTTAATGTAATTAAGTCATGTTTAATGTTGTTAAGTATTTAAACAGGTTCAATAATTAAACACGCTAAAAGTACCTTTCACTATTAAAAAATATTGTGTACCTATAAGTATCTTAAACTAAGCTTTTGCTACAAAGTTTCCTCAATTAAAAATTAGGCAAAACGCACTCATTTTTATGGGAAAGGGCTATGCAGGTCTGATCGAATTTGATTTTATGGCACATTCACGGTTTTGTAACCAGGCCACTGAACTCACGGAATCTGAATAGGCTTAGCAATAACTTGAACCCATTAATAGAACCTCAATATTTATGTAAACCATACTTTTTTCATGGTAGCACTTCATGCTTTCTCATATTACGAAAATAGAATATTTTGAACCATGCTTTAGAACACTTTTTTGTACACTAAGAGGATTTCAGGTGACTTTGTAGTAGTCCCCAAACTAACTAGTCCTGTCTTTTGGGGATTATAAGTAGGTTTCACTGTTATCGTTTGTGGTAAAAGACAGTGATAAAATGAATCAAATCTTGTTTACAGAACAGACATAAATAAAGAGACTAATGATTGAGTGTCCAGCAGAGCCTCACGCCTTATGTGTCTAGCAGAGCACAGAAGAGCTGTTTTCTTCTCTTGTTTCTTACACGAAATGCTGGAATAACTTACTGTCACCAATTCGAAACCCCAAATCAAATGCTGTTTTCAAATGTTCTAGCATATATGGTATTCATTGATGTTTGTCCAACCTTTAGAGTTTAATTAACGAATGCCCAGGCAACAAATTGTATTGAAATATGCCCTTCCTTGTCCCCAGGATGACGAGGACGACGATGACACTGAAACCTGCGCAAGCCCAGAAGTCCTCGCACCCCAGCCCTTTCCGAGGCACACGGCGCCTCAGCAACCCGCACCTAAGCCTTGGAAGAGAACCGGTATGTTACTTACCTGGTGGTGGTTGAATTGCTGATGCTATATTTTGAACTTTACTGGGATAATTTAAGGACATGCAAAACCTTATTGAGGGGTTAAGTAATGCTGTCTGCAACACTTATGCTAAAAGCTTTTCTACCAATGTTTGCTAAAAGATAGATGGGGGTGAAGAATATGAGAGTGAAATTAGGGGATAAACATGTCATCGATTTCATACTTACCATCAGGTGATCCGTCTGCTCGTTTGCCTCCTGTCACATAAAAAAAATACCTGGTTGGTGAATGACAAGATAAGTGTGTGAAGTGGAGATGTTAATGGAGGGCCTGTTACATTATTGACCGTGAAAGTTCTGCGTTTCTTACTTTATGTCCTAGACTTAGTACTGTGTGATGAAATCTAAACTTGTGAGTGCTTCCTAAAGTTCTTTATATTCTTGTCTAGCTCCTGCAAGCTGAAGAAGACCACTAATGCGAATTACTATACAATTTTGAGCCTTCGCTAGCTACATTTTAAGCACTTTTTCCTTCCCCATGCACCCTTGATGACGTCACAGAGGAGCCACCGCGAGCGCCGCCGCGCACGCGCATATCCCACGACGAATACCACCAGTTCTGCGACGAGACCCTGGAATGTATGACGCATGTCGTGTGTTAGCATGGTCTCACGCTTTTTCTGTTGCAACTGTTAGGGTAGTCGATGTTTTAATGTGCAAAAACGATATTTAAGTTCACTGCCGTTTTTCATGTCATTTTCAGCAAATTTGACTACACATTCTTTTTACAAAACCGCACATATTACTAACTGAATAACATGACATTGTGTTTAGTTTAATGTACCATCGTCTGTCTGAGCTACAGTATGAACGAAAAAATATGCCAGCTGGACTCTTAAGATGCAATTTTTCCATACTTTGTGGTGCTCTACCATTGGAATTTATTCTGTAGCCCAGCGATCAATTAAAACTCATTAAGCTTGAAAGGTAATCTAGACTAAATAACTTAGCTTATTAATGTTCCCCTTTTAAATATTAATCGTGCGCTGTAACATCATAAACTTAGAGCTGAAGCGCTGAATTATTTTCAACATAAATATCGTTTATTGCACGAAGTTACCTAATTAATATTCTTGGCAACGATGCCAAGTTTATAATCACTATTTGAATTCAATGTTGTCTTTATTATTTTATGTGCCGTGTCTAAATGTTGTCATTAGGTTTTATCTTGGCTTATGAATTCTGTACCTTTAATATTAATTTGTCGTATAGAATTATTGTTGTTTTGTTAGTTTAACTTGGTAGTCAGCGTTTAGTTATTAAATTTTATCTGTCTAGACATTTAACTTATTTACTAAGTTATAAACTTATCGGCTTTGCAAGATCATCATCTTAAATATCATCTATTAAATATTGTTCATCTTCAGTATCTCCATCACGCAGTTTTACATCAACAATATTAATAACACCGTGTCTTTTTTCTCTTATCTCAACTGATTTAACAAGATTTTTCTTATCACTTATCGTATTTTTTATCACATCACACATCGTTTCTAAAAGTGTTGGTTTGTGTGTAACACTAGTCACAAAGTTTTCAATTTCATTATGTTTAACCTCTATTTGACACAGCTGTTAAGAAAGTATTGTGTTAACCCAGTTCCACTTTCCACTTCATTTTCAATTACCGATAGAACCAAAATTAATTTACCTGTCTCCGGCACTTACTTTAATTTAGAGGGATCAACACGAAATACCCTTTTACACAACAACTTGTCAAATACCTTATTGCTAATTGAATAATTAAACCCGACGGTTCTTTTCGACGGTTTCTGATAGTAATATTTTAGACATAATTCCTGAAAATTTAATCAAATGCCTTTGAACGTTTGCGATGCCTGAAAAAATAATTACTCAATACTTAAATCTTGATAATTGAATCAAGGAATTATTTTTTTTTGTTTTGCATAAAGTTGCGGTTTGTCTAAGCTGACTTTTGACTAAGTATTCCTCTAGACATCAGCAGGATAAGATACATTTTATTAGTTCGAAAAACATTCACCTTTTTTAAGGCCCATATTACCAAACGACGTTTAAAACTCGACTACATCTTGGCTACAGATTCCGTTATTGAAGCCTCAATAAAATAAAGCTTGAAATTGAATAGAGTTTGGAGCTTCGTTTTGTAATACGCACCTATTTTGTCCTGTCAGATTTATCAGACACCATAATTTCTGTGCCTTTCTTATTTTAAATTAATTTTAGGGTATTAAATTCTTCTTATTCTTGTATTTCTAAAGTTTTTATATGTTCCAGCATACGACCTGGCGACGCAGTGTCCTTCCCGTCGCGCCTCCATGCGTCGGCACACCGTCACGCACGCGGCCTGTCCTCCCACCGACGGCGCTCATTCGCTGCCGCACTCAAGGTATGCCAAGTCGCAGCCAAGTACTCATCATTAGAGGCTGAATATTCTGAAACAGTCCCTCTTTCCTAGAACCATTAGTTGGACCATAATACTCGTGCCTCTTCACTTCAGTTAATCCAAAAATATGAACATGAAAGTGAAAGATATGAGGAGTTGGTGGGTGTTAGTTTGTCAAGTAGAGGAAAGTCCTGAAATTCAGGATTTCATTAATTTTTCCTATACTTAATACCTTCTCTTTTGAGAAGGTATTCTAGGTAGGACTTCATTTTTTTTAGATGCAATGAAAAGTTATAATTTCAGCCATAGGACGTCAAAGCACTACTGAACACAGGCTTTCCCCAATGATTTCCACAATGGCCGGTTGGTAGCGACCTGCAACCAGCACTTTCCTGCACCTTTACGAGGTTTTCTGTCCACCTTATGGGTTTCACCGTCTTACGCAAATAAATTGAAAATCATTCGGGGAGGCCTATGTTCAGCTGGTGGACGTCCAGTGACAGTTCATTATCATTCATCATTAGAAGCTTAACATAATACTATACTTATTGTACAAAAAAAGTCATTAATTCCTAGAACCCACTCAAAAAAGACCCATTTTCCCCAACAGGCCAGGCTCCCGCGCGTCGTGCGCCGGCGCAGCGTCGCTCGCGAGCAGCGACGCGGACGCGCAGCTCGGCGAACTTTCGTGGTCGCGCTCGTCGCTACAAGACGAGCTCATCAAGTCGGTTAGTGGCAGCCCCACGCACGGCTCGCATGTGAGTAGATTAGTTTCACCAGGTGGTGGGCGGCGGGAAGGAGAAGGAAGGATATTTTTTATTCTTTGACGATTTGCAAGTACTGATTTACTAATTAGTTCAGAAAAATAAAGACATTTTTGATCATGATTTTTTTTTGGATGAAGTGGAAATCTAGTTTAGATGATTAAGTATACATGTAGATAAATTTGTTTATGATAAGTACTTACCTTGAGTAGGTACTTGATATCTTCCTTGAGTACTTGGTACCTAGTCCTTGATACCTTAATTTAATTGTATAAGGTAATTTTGTCACAAAAGGAAGACTTCCATCTTTTCCACAATACTTAGTCTCGATTATTTCAAAGCTCCATTTAAACATTACTTACCTAATTTCTGTGTCGGAACTCTATCTTTGTCACTGTACGTATAAAATGTAAGTGACATTAACTCACTGAAAGTTATTAGATCATTTTTTAAGATTCAAATTAGTTCACTTTCAAAACTCATTCAAATTAAAGTATATTGAGGTCAATTTAAAAGTATAATTGACCATTTCATTGCATAATTTAAATGACAAATTGCTAACTCTAACCACCGCACTTGGTATAAAGTAGCTAAATCAAACAAGTCGCAAAACCAGTTCCATGCAAAGTAGAGCAGATTAAATCACACTAAGGAGTGTATCAACTTAAGCATATCGTGAACTCTACCCACTCTTAGAACTTACCAAACTAATATAAGTAAAAACGGCGGCACCTCAAGTTACACTTTGGCTTCTTATGTACTTTTAATACGGGCGATTTTGCAATCGAAATGTATTCTCCAACGTGCTGTAGTTTGTATGTAACTATGTAGTAAAATGTAGTGTGTGTTGTCGTAGCCTAGAAATCCGTAGATGATCTGTTTTTGCATGTATTCACTTGTATCATAAATAGTGCACCTAATAGTGATGTAGAGTTTTACATGTGCGAATAGGCAAACAGAAGCCCCACAAAATAATGTAATAGGAACACATTATGATTAAGTCGGTATAATTAGTGTAGCGGCGTTGGTTGTTTACCTTCAGTAAATTTTTCAAAAATTTATTCTGATATTATCCAACTCACTGTCTTTAATTTTAGTTAGACGAACACTAGTATTATATTACGAACACGTTTACATAAACTAGTATTATATTATCTGTGCCTAAACTAAAAATAACCCGAGCTGAATGAAGTTATTCACTTCTTCTTGATTGAATTTCTCAAAGCTTGACTGGAATAAAATTAAATTATTATTACGAAAAATAATAGTTACTCTATTATTTATTTATTGACATTAACATTTTAGTTTAAGTTACGCGCTCTTTAATAAATCCGTTTTTGACTAGAATTTTCCTTTTACAGAAGCAATGGCAAGACGCGATCATGTCGGACGACCGGCTGTCGTTGACCCTGGAGGAGATCGTCCACATCAGGTCGGTGCTCACCAAGGCCGAGCTGGAGGTGCTGCCTGTAGAGGGCAGGGTCAAGGAGGACGTAGAGAAGAGGAGGGTAGGTGTAGCATCATCATCTAGTCATAGGTCATAGCACACGTAAACTCAGAAAGGGATCGTCACGGCTGTGGTCACGATATCGCGTTTCGCCTCGCAGTTAAATAGGTGTCACCTTAACGTAAGCACGTAACCAAAGCGGATCAGCAGCATCGGTACGTCGACTCAGCTTCGGCGGCTATTCTGCAGGCAGATCGCGGTAGGGGTGAGAAAGGTAGGGGTAGACGAAGAGACATAAGCGCGGGGACGATGAGCTGTAAGGCCTCAGCCTCGAACTTAGCGGGCAGCGGGGCGGCGGCGGCGGCGGCGCGGGAGCGGGGCGGGTAACGCAGACCCGTTCTCGAAACCAGCGNATTTGTTTTTATTCGCAAACGAAATGTCTGAACAACGGCGACAATTTTATTTCGATTCAAATTTATTCCTAACGCTCGATTTATTGTGGGCAAAAGAAGGAGTGCGCTCCCCGCTCGATGCCCGCTCCCTCGCCGCTGCCCGCTCGTTGCCCGCTGCCGCGCCGCTGTTTTCGAGAACCGGTCCATTTGATTTTACGCATAAGATCCTGCCGCTCCCGCGCCGCCGCCGCCGCCGCCCCGCTGCCCGCTAAGTTCGAGGCTGAGGCCTAAGACCTCAGCCTCGAATTTAGCGGGCAGCGGCGCGGGAGCGGCAGGATCTTATGCGTAAAATCAAATAGACCGGTTCTCGAAAACAGCGGCGCGGGAGCGGGCAACGAGCGGGCGGCGCACTCCAGTCTAGCGGCGCGGCGTCTTCTTTTGCCCACAATAAATCAAGCGTTAGGAATAAATTTGAATCGAAAAAAAAAAAATTGTCGCCGTTCGCGTTGTTCAGAAATTTCGTTCGCGAATAAAAACAAATATCTCGACTACACAACCCCGAACACAACATTTCGCCGCTAAAGCGCCGCGCGAGCTGCCCGCTTGTTTCGAGAACGGGTCTGTGTTGCCCGCCCCGCTCCCGCGCCGCCGCCGCTCCCGCCCCGCTGCCCGCTAAACTCGAGGCTGAGGCCTAATTGCGAGAGTCGTTAGTTGACCGACCGACCGGCTGTCGTTGACCCTGGAGGAGATAGTCCACATCAGGTCGGTGCTCACCAAGGCCGAGCTGGAGGTGCTGCCTGTAGAGGGCAGGGTCAAGGAAGACGTAGAGAAGAGGAGGGTAGGTGGAGCATAAATAATGTGGAGGATTTAAGTCTCATTTGGTTTTTGAATCTTCACCTATCATAATAATATCAGACTTGTATGAACCACGTAACACCAACTATTTTACCTTTTGAGTCCATCCATAGGAAGTTGTCTCATAGACGTGTGGTTTTGGCAGTGCAGGACCGCCACCACTCTTCTCATTGATATTTTAATAGATAACTAAGGGACTATTAAAATGTGAATATCAGACCTCATCAGATCTCGTCTGACTAGCGTAAAGAGTAGTGTAGGCCAATTTAATTTCTTTCAATTTCTCTTTCATGTGCTCCAGTAGTGAAAACCAATGACTTGATGGTGATGATTATGATGACTTTTTATAGTTGAGATGAAGCTGATTCATTATTATTGTTTCAGGTATGCTTCCTATGTTTGAAGACTAGATTCGGCATTTTTGGCCCCTGGGGTCAGAAGTGCAAACTATGCAAAAAGACTGTCTGTCAAAAGTGTTGTTCAAAGGTGAGTAAACAAAAATTTTTAAGTGCGACATAGAATACTTTGTAAAATAAATGGCCCCAAATCTAATAAATAAACAAATGCTCTGTTAACAAAAATCGGGTTTATTCAAAGAGCTTTTAACATTACATATGTGCCACCAGAAATAATGACACTCGCGCGATGTAAAACCCGCAAAGCGCCATCTCTTGGTGTCGATAAGAACAAATTATTGTAGTGCTTTTGCTTACGACTCCATAATATCTTCCAGATGCGGATACCGACGGAGCACTTCGCACACGTGCCAGTGGTTCTGCTGAGTCCGTCGCTGCTCCCGTCGCCGGAGGACGAGCACTCCTCCTTCCCGAGGAGCCTCATGTCCCGTTTGGTCTCGCCCGAGCACACGGTAAGGAGTAACTAGGTACTAATGAATCATCATTACAGCCTATGCCAATTTAGTCTGAACGTCCAGAAGCCCTTCTGATTAATTTCGTAAGGTCCAATAACAATTTACCTTTAGCCCGTGATAAACTTGGCCTTTGCTGGTCGGGTTCCTGGCTACAGGAGTAGCAGCGATGGGAACGAAAGATGAGAATGTTCCCAGGAAGCTCCGAAGAATTCTACAAAGCACGATGGACGCAAAACGTTTTCAAGGTTCTAAGATGTTTGGAATTTGGAATGCTCTAAGGTTACCAAATTAATGATCTTCTTCGGTTAGTCAGATTTGGGGGCTTATTCCACTATTCCCCGTTGACAATCCCCGTCAACGGGGATTAGTGAACTTTTTGTTCACTATTCCCCGTTATATTAGGATTTTATTTTTAACACCTTCGCTGCCAGCCTAAAAATGGCACTGTTCCGTTCGGGCCATGGGGGACAATGATGGGCGACACTTTAACTTTCCGTTCGGGCCGCGTCGGACAATGATGACCGCGAGTCAGACCTATGTTTAAACCTCTGTATTGAGCCGATGGACAGCATTTCTTCAATAATTCTCATATAAGCTGACCCGCGCGGCTCCCAAGATTAGTGTACGTCACTTGGTTCTCAGGTAAAGCTCGGACTTAGAAAAAAAAATGTGGATAACGGTAGCGCAATGAAACATGGTAATTATACAATGCATTTTTGCAAATTTATCAACTTTTTAGCAAGATAATAACGGTTTATTAATTAAAACATATCGTTTACTTATTTTATATAATTTATAATATGCAGGACAATAAAAAAAATCACTTTCATTGTTGAACAACCACTTTGTATGAAGGGTTGGTACAGGTACTAAGTTCTTTGTACAGCTACAAAACTTATGCCATTTAAAACCTTATTAGTGGCATAAATTATTGTACTTATTATATGCTTACACCTAGCAGGATTGTCGAGAAAAATAGATTTGTTTAATGTATGAAAAAAACATTTTTTCTCTTATCAATACTCTATTCTAGAACTTTTTTTTATTATTCATGTTGGTCAAAGTATTGGCATGTTAAATCAGCTATGTCATTATAATTATTTTTAATTTTAAGTATATTTTTAAATATTATTTGTAGATATATTGACAATTCAATATTGTTTTGAAAAAAGAACCGATCGAAAGTGACACTACAGTGATGGATGAAAAATTCAAAATACAGTCAAACAATTTCTAAAACGTCAAGTCGCAAAAATTGGATTAATAACCCAGTTGTTAGTAGCACCTTCCTGTAAATTTCATAATTATATGGCTGTCCAACGAGGCAAAAATGGGAACTAATAGTTCAGTATTGATAGTAGCGCCTTCCTGACAATGCCATAGCTGGGACGGCTCAGTTTTGGACAACTTTTATACGAATTATTGATAAATTCAATTTTTTAAATAAAATTTAAACCTTTTTTAATTAAAACAATTTGAAAAAAATCACTTTTAGCGTTCCTTTTACGGTATCATCGATTTATTTATTATTATTTTTAATCACTGTTTAAGACTTATCCTGCTAGTTTCGTTTCTCATTTTATACCTTATAATATTCCTATTTATGCGTAATATAATATATCAAAAACCTACCAATGTACAACTCTTTATTTTTTTGGTTGTTCTCTTTTTTTTTTTGGATGCGAGCGGGGATGGTTGACAACATGACCGCGCGGCCCTACGGAACGGATTTTCGAATTTTCGCTCGCTGGGGCCATGGGGATCAATGATGTCCGACGCTTAATAATTCGATGTAGAGACTCAAAAACAACTATATGTTAATAAAATCCTTTATTTATGTTTATAATGTAACGATTTAACAAAAAAAAACAATCGACGAAAATTGAAAAAAATTGAAATTTTTACTTGGCCTGGTAGGAAAGTGCAGTGTCGGACAGCATTGACCGCGTTGGCGTTCAATGTGTTAACATTATAAGCTCCAATTGGCGTTAACGGGGAATAGTGGAATAAGCCGATTTGGGTATAGTCGTCGATACGAGGCCTCAGTGCTGTGACATCGAGTTTTCCTGAATCCTTGCTAATACAAAGTCCACCTTATTATCCACAGAGCATGGTCGAGAACAGCGTGGGCAGCGCGCCCAACAGCCCGAGCAGCGCGCGGCGGCACGCGTCACACGCGCACAGCGCGCCGGGATCGCGCGGCGGGTCAGCGCTCGGGTTCAGCGAACCCGCTCACGCTGCTGTCATGTCCCGCAGCATCGATGGGCCTGGGAGCATGCCGTTGCATCTGGCGCCCGTGGACCGCAGGTAGGAAAAAGGAAGAAAGTTTTTTTTTTATGCTAGACAAGGCAGGTATTTGACCGCAATCGCACCTGGTGTTAAGTGAGATGCAGTCTAGGATGGTACATATCTGCCCTGTAAGTGAGTAAGTAAATATGTTATAAAGCCTGGCCCGTGAGCACGTAGAATTTTGTCCAATGACCCCAAGCTACCCATCCTTATCGCTCGCGCGTAATTATGTTGCTGTCGCGCTCGCACACTCACTGCGGGCGCCCGTCGCACAGTCGCGACAGCAATATATTTACGCGCGAGCGATAAGGATGGGTAGCTTGGGGTCATTGGACGGGATTCTACGTGCTCACGGACCAGGCTTTAGTCAGTCACACGAAACACAGAACTAGTAATGAATGATGCTGGTCTGTTCAGACCCAACGCTGATGCTGGTATTCCGAAGGCAATAATACCCTTCACATTCGATTGCAACGAGCTGCGCACCTCAACTAGTGACGTAGTACCCTGAAACTGCAGAAAAACTGTCTGCCAAAACGGCCACATGGAGTAAAAATTAATGGCCTTGATAGTAAGGTGCTTCATGATCCCCTTCAATGAGTCCACGGCTACTGTGGATATGTGTAGGAGCAACTATTGTCTCTGCAATGGAATTATCCTGCCTCTCGTTACTCCTAGTGAGAATCTACAGCTTGATCACCAATACGAACCAATAGGCTACATCTGGCACCTGCATAAGAGCAACAACGCCGATAGTACCTAACCAGTGCCTATAATAAAATTTGCACCCCACGAATGTTACACGAACTTATACAGCCAAATTAGTGTTAACCACTACCCATTGTCTAATTTACCCATGCATTTTTCCACAGCCGATCGCGATACAGTCGAACCACCCCCGGCGTGTCAGCAGCGGAGCGGCTTCGCGGCGTGCAGATGGCGGTATGCCACGACTGCAAGGCCATGGTGCTGCAGATCATCAAGAGCTCCCGTGCTGCCCGCTCGGCTTCCCGCGACCGTGCTCTGAGACATCTCACGCTGGACCTGGCACCTGTATATACGGCTGACTGTTGAACGCACGATTTGCAGCCTATAAGCTCTTCTACAGCCTAAAAAAATTTGTTGGTCGAGCGCTCGTTTGGGACTCAAAAAGCTATAGTGTTCTTCTCCGAATCCTCTGCGACCTTGCGCTCAGACATCTCACGTTGGACCTGGCACCTGTATACACGGCTGACTGCTGAACCCTGTCAAGGAACCATTATACGCCTGTTCTACAGCCTAAGCTCTTAAGGACTGTTGGTCGAGCGCTCGTTTGGGACTCAAAAAGCTAGTGTTCTTCTCCGAATCTTCTGCGACCTTGCGCTCAGACATCTCACGCTGGACCTGGCACCTGTATATACGGCTGATTGCTGAACGCTGTTGGGGAACCATTATACGCCTGTTCTACAGCCTAAGCTCTTAAGGACTGTTGGTCGAGCGCTCGTTTGGGACTCAAAAAGCTAGTGTTCTTCTCCGAATCTTCTGCGACCTTGCGCTCAGACATCTCACGCTGGACCTGGCACCTGTCTACACGGCTGACTGCTGCTGTTAGGGAACCATTATACGTCAGTTGTACAGCCTAAGCTCTTAGAATCTGTTGGTCGAGCGCTCGTTTGGGACTCAAAAAGCTATGTGTTCTTCTCCAAATCCTCTGCGACCTTGTGCTCAGACATCTCACGCTGGACCTGGCGCCTGTATATACGGCTGATTGTTGAACACTGTTAGGGAATCATTATATGTCAGTTCTACAGCCTAAGTTCTTAAGGACTGCAAGGCCATGGTGCTGCAGATCATCAAGAGCTCCCGTGCTGCCCGCTCGGCTTCCCGCGACCGTGCTCTCAGACATCTCACGCTGGACCTGGCACCTGTATATACGGCTGACTGTTGAACGCTGTTAGGGAACCATTATACGCCTGTTCTACAGCCTAAGCTCTTAGAATCTGTTGGTCGAGCGCTCGTTTGGGACTCAAAAAGCTAGTGTTCTTCTCCGAATCCTCTGAGACCTTGCGCTCAGACATCTCACGTTGGGCCTGGCACCTGTCTACACGGCTGACTGCTGAACGCTGTTGGGGAACCATTATTACGCCTGTTCTACAGTCTAAGCTCTTGGTTGAGCGCTCGTTTGGGACTCAAAAAGCTATAGTGTTCTTCGATTCCTCTGCGACCTTGCACTCAGACATCTCACGCTGGACCTGGCACCTGTATACACGGCTGATTGCTGAACGCTGTTAGGGAACCATTATACGCCTGTTCTACAACCTAAGTTCTTAAGGACTGCAAGGCCATGGTGCTGCAGATCATCAAGAGCTCCCACGCCGCGCGATCCGCTTCCCGCGATCGCGCTCTCAGACACCTCACGCTGGACCTGGCACCTGTATATACGGCTGATTGTTGAACGCACGATTTCTGCAGCCAAGCTCTTAGAATCTGTTGGTCGAGCGCTCTTTTGGGACTCTAAATTGCCTCAATAAAAACTTGGTGTTCTTCTTAGATTGTGTCACGTATACGCTGCCACTGAAACTCAGGTGCTCTTCAAGATCTTTTATTCAGCTACTCGTTTGGGACTCACACAGGGTCATATTGGAAAGGTGTTTTTCCAAGATATTTTGATACTTCTATGGCGACATACCGGAACTCTGCCTGACGTATGATTTAAAACAAAAATATCTTTTAAAAACATCTTCCAGAAATTTCTTGTTCAGCTGCTAAGACGAAATAAGGCTCGGGTATTCTCACGAAACTATTTCAAGTCAGGTCAAAGCAAACGTCTTCCCTATACCACGTGACAAACTATTGCAGCATGATAAATAACTGAAAAAAATCAAGCTCGACTATTCGTGCGGGATGAGATAGCTTGAACGACATCAGGTACTCGTTTTGGGCGACTGGGGGCCAAAAATATTATTTCGATGGGAAGAACACTACCAGATTTATGCATAATGCATTACGTAGTTTAAACTTAACTGAACAAAAATACATATTCTAACGAACAAAGCCTACAAACAGTTTAGAAGCTAATAAAATTCATAACATGTTGCCAAGTTTTACGAACCAACTCATTGATGAATTTTACCCTAATTTGACATTGACTAAAATATTCTTGACATGTTACTAATTAATTATACTTTTGGCTTTTATCGGCAACATGATAATGATAAATTGTGATTCATAAGAATTTAGAATTCGACCTTATTAACAAACATTAAATTAATTTTACAAATGCACTAATAATGATAAATAAATGTACCTAGTTCTTCTTTAGACCGCCCAGACGAGAGTGCAGCCCTAACACAGTTTGGAAAATAGATCTGAATACTTTAATATGCCTTGTAGTACAGTCTGCAACGAAGCATACAATTTTACCAAAAACTTGCGTTAAAATTTTGTTGCCGACTGTACTCATTATGATTGTCATACGACTAATGGGTGGAAAGGGACTCAAGAGCTTCCAAGGTTGTGTATCTGTCTTGTGGATATTAAGGGCGGACCACTTCGTTTTAAAGTAGACAACAGTAACACTGGTATGACGCTGCAACTCGTGGAAACTAAAATAATGATCGGACACTTTCCAATATCCCCTTCACTAGAAAATACCTATCAAATACTCCTTAAATTAATTAGTTAGGTGAATATACAATTAGCGTAGAAAAGGATACAAGATCAATGTGTTAGCTTCCACCACTTGCAGCTGGTTACTGGTGCTACAAAACTTTTGACAATACTCTTTGACAGACACGATTACCACATTACCTACTTTTATTTATCGCACAAATGATATTAAAAACTGTTACAATTAATTATTTACTCGGGTACTTTGTACCAAAAGTCATTCTTCTATATTAAAATTTAAAAAGTATATGTAATAATGATATATTCCACGAAATTAATATTTTCTCACTGTATTATAATAGATGTATTTATATTTTTCCCGAATGATAGTATGTTTAATATGTCTACAATTTGAATGTAAATCAAGATAATCTGTGTTCAAGAAATTGATGTACTATGGATGTTATTGTATTATGAATATTTATATGAATGTTAAAACTTCATGTAGGCTCTGTGTAACATAGACTTTCAAACATAGTTGTGAAGTATACCACCATTTCCCCCCTTGACTATGTCCCCTTAATTTTTCCTTAAAACTGTAAAGCTGGGTTCATAATTTTTTTTTCCAGTTGATACTTAGACACAAAATTAACTTTACAATATCCTGTTTGTGAACCGGTTTTAAGTTGTTTTAATTTTCAAATGACATTTATTGAAAATTGATTTTGTTTCAAATGATTACAAAGGTAAGTTTTCTGTGCCATAAATAATAAAATTGTTTAATCATTTCCATGTATTTCCACCTGCGACTATTTATTGCTTACGTTATTTCATTTGGTCGCTGTTTATCGTGTTACATTTTTTTACTCGATTTACTGTTTGCATGGTACTACATCTTAAATTACTTATTCATAAAAGTAAAAAAAAAAAAAACAGTTCAATGTTATTAATTTTTAGTTATTCTTTATAGGAAAAACAACGGGCCATAATATTACTATCCATTATTTATTTTTGTAATGATCATGATCAAATTGAGCTTGCTGTATGTTTTCAATCACCATGTCAAAAGATTGTCAATGTACACCCAGCTCTATCTAAAGTCTGATTAAGTTGAAGCGTGTTGTTTATCCTTTATTTGCTTGTTTGAAATTACGAGTATCGCCCATGGTTCATTCTACTTAGGTGTAGTTAAATTATTTTGCCAAATATAAAAACCCTTCCCATGATTTCTTGTAAATATAGATAATTACGTTAAAATTAGTGTCATCCTTTAATCGGTTACTTAATCCTATTTAGAAATAAGTTTCAATGTTTATACATTAAAAATCCATAGATTTACAGCATTTCATAAGCTGAAGTGTCCCTTCGATGTTTCCCTCCGTTCAAGTTTCATAGTTTATACCTTTACATTCCATGTTTAGCAAAACCATAGACTATTTTAATTTGTATTAAAAACAAACGAAATCAGGCCTAATCTTTATTTTTGGCAGCAAATTCTTATGTATAATAAGTTTGGCAATGTTTCTAATCTGGCATTTAATAAATTATTTATTCAAAATTATGTAATAAATGAAATTGTGTAAAAAAACTAATCCCAGTTACGAGTATTTGTAAATGTGTGTAAATTTTAGTAGTCTATATTAGATGTTACGTAGATTGTACACGTCTAAAGCATATTATAAAGTAAAAATAAAAAGAAATAAATATGAACGATAATAAAAAATCATTACAAATCGTTGTTGTATTGTTTTATTAACGCCTACTATTTCACACTGCTTGTTTTATTTATACTTTATATGAATCTATTTGATTGAATACAGTTGTATTAAATGAAATCGCTAAACGATAATAATTATGTTCGGAATAATAACAGATATACTGAAAAATCACAATTGATTAAAAAAAACCCCTTAACAATCGAATCACATTTATTGATTGATCACTATACAGTATGCTTAATAAATAAATTGTCTAAACAAAATAATATTCAACCTACGATGAGTAAGTCGTTGGTGAAAGTGTGGGGGGGTACTTCGAGGTTAAGTGGGGCGGGTCCTTTGCGGATGCGGCCTGAGGCGTCATAATGCGAGCCGTGGCAGGGACAATAGTACCCGCCAAAGTCACCCGAGTTGGCTACAGGCACGCAGCCCAAGTGGGTGCAGACTCCGATGACTACCAAGAACTTGGGGTCCTGGGTACGCTGGTCGTCGCTCTGGGGGTCGCGCAGGGTCTCTATTGGCACCGCCTTCTCGGTCGCGATTTCTTCGGCTGTCCTGTAATGATAGGGATGCGGTATTAGAGAAGTAGAATATTAATAAGAATATTGTCTAGCATAAAAAAAAAAATAAAAAAAAATTACTGTTATTTGGACATCATTCACAATAACATTTTAGGCTTCAAGCCAAATATTGAATAGCTGGACTTGTTACAACTCTTTATGTAGCTTACCAAGGGACAATTATTAATGGATCAATAAGCTTCTCAATATTGTCACTCAACAAATACACCGTGTTACTTTGCATTCTTGCCATATTCACAGAGATAAAAGTAGGTAACAATACCTATTATTTAAGATAAACAAGAGACTCCCATAAAGAAAGTACACAAAGATTTTAGTAAATTTGGTTTTTCAGTACAAATTGGAATAAACCAATTTTGTCTCGCACGTTCTACAGGTGCAAGTGGAATAAACCTAGTGGGCGTGGCCTAGTTCTTAATTTTATGGCTTTGGGTACCAGCCTTTTTATCCAGTCATAATAACTATTTTAAAATACTCTTCAGTTCATTTCAGATTTTCCTTTCTACTTTACGGGCTTAAGACCGTCAAAAATACGTAATAATTAATAGGGTTTCAATTAATTTACAACATTGTACCCTATTTTTACAAATTAATAAATTAAATATGAAATGAAATCACCTTATTCACAATTAATTATTTATTCATAAGTTCCTACTTACAAAGTTTACGTACTGCGAAGCAAGTGTTCAGTGTCCTCCGTTCTGATGAAGGCACAGTCTAGCACGGCGAAGCGTAGGTTTTTCGCTTTAGTTTTCGCAACACATAAACGTTTTGTATCACAGTTTCACTAAAACAATCCTTTCATGTAACGCGTTTACACTGTTTATCTCTTCTGCGCATACCAGTCGTTTCAAGTCACTCCAAAAATCCATTGGTGTCAGGTCCGAGGATCGTGGTGGCCAAGCTACTGGACCCCTCGTCCAATCCACTGTTCACCAAACGTATTATTCGCGCACTTGACGTCCTTATTGTGGGGGAGCACCATCCTGCTGGTAGTAGAGCATTTGGTGTAACGCTAAGGGTACGTCATCAAGCATTTCGTCTAAGACGTCTTGCAGACACTCCAAGCACCATTTTGATTAAATTATTCGTTGTTTGAATACACTTCAGTCATTTTTGTATTATTTATAACGTGATTTGTGTTTGATGGATTTCTCAGTTTTTTACAAGTGTCAAAAAAACATTTTAAAGACAATAGATTGCAATAGATATTTAAAAATACAATAAAAAGTAAAAAAGTCAAACAAAAGTACAACAAGTGATGTGCATGTGTTACGATAATTAGTGGTGTGTTTAACAGATTGTCGATAAAATAAAATACTCAAGATTAAAAAAAAATTTTTTCGGGCATTATTTTTTTACGGATTTGTGTTCAGTATCAGTAATATAGTAACCTCTGTAAATATGGCAAGAATGCAAAGTAACACCCTGTATGTGGGTTGCCTATGAAAAAGAGGTAATTAGAAGACAATTTCAGCGAAATGTGTGACACAACAATGCAGTACAACCAAATCATATCGTATTCCCCGTCACGTCATTACGTCGCAATTTTTTTTTATGTCGCAAAATCTGTCTTTAAAATTTTCCACTCCATACTGTAGCATCACAGTTTTTACAAGTATAATTAAAAAAAAAAGCAACATCTTTAAATTATTATGCTATCTTTCTTCACAATTATGCTTTCATTGATTCACAATGAATGATAAAACTAAAACTGACCTGTGACGGATGAACAGGGGCTTGCCTCGCCACTTGAAGGTGACAGACTTGCCCTCAGGGATATCAGACAACTTGACTTCGATCTTGGCTAAGGCCAAGACGTCAGCGGCGGCAGACATGGACGATACGAACTGTGTGACCACAGACTTAGCGGCATATGCTCCGGCAACGCTGCCAGCTGAAAGGAAGAAACAGCTTATTATTACATTGTTTCGGTTGAATTTTAATATACAGACTGAATATATTAATTAAGCCAAGATACTAAACTAAATGCTTTGGTGTAATAATATTATATTTGTACAAACAACAAAAATAAAGTAATTTTCGACATAATGATGGGATTTTTATGAATATAATACCTAATAAATAATTATTAAACTATTTTGATGACTTGCTCTACATACATGTTTTAGAAGTGTGTCTAATATTGACTATGATTTTGTTTAGTTTAAAATGCACTAGCCTGGAACTTGAGCTACATTATGTAGTTCTACCATAGCATGCAATTAAAGTGAAATATAGGATGATAAGGTAATGAGTAAAATACATTAATTGTCTTCAATAACCTTTCCTACTTGGAACAATTTAACTAATTACATTAGGGTCAAGGAGGCAACAGTGACTCGGTCGGCTACAGTGGCTCAGTCATGTTTCGACCTGAAGGCATAGGAATATATATTTGTCTCTTTTACCGATTCAAAGGTCTTGGTACCCGAACACGTTTAAACCAGTTTGCTCGCCGGTCAAGTGCCGTGCGGAAGGGTGAGGGAATGTTTTTTGTTTTCGCGCCCACTAAATTACATTCTAAGGTGAGTTTCGATTGTTTTCATATCTTTGTTTGTTGCTATAGGTAATAGCCGTTATATTTATCGGATAGTAGGTCTTGTATCAATTGTCTTTAATCCGAATTTTGACTAATTTGTTTTACATCTTGGTTTTTTTGATCAAATATTTACAAAATGGCGTAGAAGTACACAGTGACTCAATTTTAATACTTTATACGAATTCAATATTTTTATAACTTTAAATCGAATTTTGTTTTTTATTTACAGAATGGCTTACGATGTTTAGTTACGAGCTCTTTGATGGACACAGATATTATAGATAACGTTTAAAAAATGGCACGCTCGTTTTCATACATTTCATTCTATTTATTTAACCTATCCAGTTATGTGCGGAAACGTCATAAAATCAGAATAAATTTTAATTTTTCCATCCCGTATCATAAAAACTAAAAAATCAAAAGTAAAATTTAAATAGTAAATATTTTTCATAAACAAGCTTTTGATGCTGTAAAAAGAATAAAATAAAACATAAATTCTTTCAAACCCATCAACTTATTACTTTACTCAATTTAAAGATTAAAAACTTGTCGCGGGATTTACTAGTGTAAAAAATACATTAATTACGTAACTTGATTTTGCTAAAAGTCTGATCTGAGAAAAAATCAAATAGGTAAATTATACATTATTTCTTTATTATTATGTATGATGTACTCTCTTAGGTACGATACAACTACGGATTAAGATCGTTTAGTCGACGCAGCGTTGAAATCGTACAGATAAATGCAGTTTGCGCACTCACTACGCGACGTCAAGCAATAAAAACCTAAAATTCGAACGTCAACTTTTTGCTACAACGCTCTTAATAATCTATAATTGCAGTTGTAATGTTAATTTTAAATTTACGCGTCTGAGTAGTAGAAAAAGGTAGTAGTCGAGAACAATTGGTGTCTTGCGATTGCTACTCTGCACTATGTTTTTGCCTTTCTACAAACTGTTTTGCTCAAGCGATCTCGTGCACATAATATTTAAATAAGTGGGACATAATCAATGCTTCAAGTTGCTCGTCTATGGCCGTCCTTATGTGACGTCATCGTACAGTAACTAAAATAAATATATTTTATTGTGACTTGACATTTGCAAAATAAATAATGGTTGCATTTGAATGTAAAAAATACTTGGTGGCTTGGAAAACTCTTACCAAACTGTACATTTTCAACCCATTATCTTACCTATTTGTTTAATGTTAGGTAGGTACCCCATTGTTGTACAGATTATTTTTGTCCTCCATACAGATTTACGTTAAGTATATAAGGTATCAGGCGACCAAGAGTTTTATTCAGAAGATATAATATTGTATTGATGCAATTTTCGAAATACATTTTACACTAGGATCAATAAAGTATTTCCCCTTTCATTTATATTTTTATTTATCTACCTATATTTTATTTAGGTAAAAGATTCCGATTGGTATATTGTTTATAATTAAAACAAATAAGATGAAATATTTTGTTTTAATAAACTTTTATTCTGATAACTCGAATTTATTATAAATGCAAAGTTGTACATACATAAAGTAAATTAATATAAATCCACTCCAATTACCGCATCTTAAATTAAGTTAACAACACTGGCGATAAAATAACGTAAAAATATAAGTACACTGTGTAAACACCCGATTAATCTCTAACTAGATGCACTCCCATCTCATCCATAGAACATTTTATTTTAGTTTGCCCCGTGAAGGATATGACGCATTTGTATCGTACGCGTACGCGAGTCCTTTAACTTTCCTACCATTTTGAAATCATATTGTAACTGACTGAACACATTAATTTCAAACATCAATAAGGTGTACACAAACAAGGTTCTATGAAAAAAGTTTACTTAACAATGAACACAGACTTATGTGACTTACGACGATTGGTAGCAGGGCACACATATTAGGTTTTATATACAGGATGCAAGGGACAAATTGTAAAGTGAAGTTAAGCTTATTAAAATCCTATTACACTAGGTAGGTATTACAAAATTTTTGTTACTTATAAAAAATGTAACTTTTTGTGAGTTACTTACTTTACATTTATTTGTAAAGGCTACATAACTATGCCTTAAGACCGACCGAGTATTCCTGCTAGTTCGATATGATCGTATAACAACGAACAGTTCAATAAATGCTTGTTAAGGAGATTAGTTCGATACCCGCTACGAACATTCGCGACAAAGGTATAAGTTGAGATGATTCTGTCACACGTGAATCTTATCCTTGTCTTATAATAAAAGTAGCAATTGAAATATTGTAGTATTTATAACCCAGGGTAAAATGTTTCTTTTTCTCAGTCTATTCTATCTAAATAAGGAATGTTAGTAAAGGGCAAACAATATAAACAGAATGAGATTTATAAAACAAAAGTGAAAATAAGAGAACATTTATTATGGAGTTCTAAAATTATAAGAAAACTAAATATACAAAAAAAACCTCAAGATATAGACTAGAGCTGATGTAGATTATAAGGCTACGTTCACATATACGGGAGCTTGGCGGATCTGGTTCCCATGTACTTAAACATTCATGCAAAGGCTTCTAACTCAGTGACAACATGACCGGCATACAATGCCAATATAGAAAAAGTTGTTGACGCTAATTCACATTATGCGGGACGCGCTCAGATCTATAATTGTAATGTAACTACGCCTAACATCACACTCCGCGCTAAGCTCCTCGGGTTTTGAAACGCGCGCGAAAATTTGGAAGACTAAAGTAGCCAATCAAGGATTATGGATAGCAAGTAATTAAATCGTGTTTATATTTTACTGTCACATCAATGGTGATTCCTGGTAACCAGTGCCTTAAATCTTACCCTATATAAAAATCTAACAAAGTCAATAATATATGTAATTCAATTCCTTAAGCTACCCAGACCAAACATCATTAAATTACAAAAGAAAAACATTTTTTATGACTAAAGCTTTCCTTGCTTATACCTTTGGCGTGCTTGGGCCTTGCTGTATTTGGTTTTTTTCTCAGGTATTGTTTCTTCTTTGGAGTTGTCAGTGAAACCTGAAAATAAAATACAAAATCTTTTAGTATAAAAAATGAGAGAAAGGATGGGAGAGTTCACTTTTTGTTAGAGTAATTTTTATGAGATTCAGATAATACATACAGACAAAAAGGATTTAAGATCCAAGTAATGGGCCTGAATAAGTACAGCCTACCTGACACAAAATTCTAATTGGAGTTTTTACATAGAATACTAGCTGTAATGAATTCTAAATATAGGTAGGTCAGGTATTTTTTTTTTACCTAAATCTTCTGGTGGCTGCAAAGATTTGCCAGCATTCCAGCTGCTCATCAGGGTGGCTGTTTTACCCGCAGCATATCCAATCCCAGCCAGAGCTATTGAAAAGGCGACCATACTAAATGGGTGCTGAAAGTAATTGATTTCATTAAAAATTTAACCAATATCATAAATATTTCAAATATTGTAAAGCTGGATAAGTTTCAGTTTATTCCTCTTTATAAAAACACTAGCTTTCCGCCCGCGGCTTCGCCTGCGTGGAATTTTGTCTGTCACAGAAAAACTTTATCGCGCGCGTCCCTGTTTCAAAAACCGGGATAAAAACTATCCTATGTTCTTTCCCGGGACTCAAACTATCTCTATGCCAAATTTCATCAAAATCGGTTGCGAGGTTTAAGCGGGAAAGCGTAACAGACAGACAGACAGACAGAGTTACTTTCGCATTTATAATATTATTAATAGTTGGGATGAGTTTTGGTGAAACTTCATGATCTAATTTTGATTTTTTCAACTGTATGATAACTAAATCCACTAACCGTTAGGGTTGGGTTTGATGTCAGGGTATAATCAAGTATAACCAACAGTATTCCTATAACTAGACCCAAGCATGTGGATATCCAAATTGTATTCTGATTGCCTGAAATAAATGAAGTAAAGTCACATTTTTGTCATAACTACACAAAACATTGAAAACTTCGTAATTTACTAACTTACTCTTCATTCTCTTGTTCTGCATATCAGTAATGCTTTTTATGGATTCAATAAGCTTGGGGTTCTGTGGGTCAAGCTGTAATGCCCTAGTGTATGATATTATAGCTTCGTCATGTAGACCACTTGCTAACTCTACTTCTGCACGGCGAAAATACCCCTAGAAATACAAAGATCCGAAATTAGTTTATGCATAAGGAACTGTTGTAGAATGATTATTTGGTTCACTATTCATCTTTGCTGCTTGGTAGAATATATTTAGTATGAAACACATTTATCTTTTTAATTACCTTGGCCCATTGAGGTTGTAGTCTAACAGTTTCATTTGCATCCTGGAGGGAAAGATAATGCTGGTCTATTTTCAAGAAAGCAAAGGATCTATTGCTGTACAACACGTAGTTACTTGGGTCCATTTTAATTGCTTGAGTATAATGTAAAACCGCTTCAATGAATTTACCATCTTTCACACATTCATTGCCTTTATTCTTGAGTTCTTCTGCACTTCCCACTTGGGGAGTTTTCTTAGAGTCATCCATATTTTAAATTAAGCCTGAGCACTTCTTAATAGCATTAAATATTACGGCAATTGATTCATCTAATTATTTTAAAGTGTTTTTTTGATGCTAAGTAATTTTTGGCAGTGAATGTATGTCAAGTTGACAGTTGTTGTCAAAACTGCCACACTGTGCACTGCGTTCCGAAATTACTGGTTTAGTGTCCGAAACTATGCAAAATCGATTTTGATGGGCTATTTCTGCTTGCTACATAGAGTTATTAACCAACTCTATGCTAACGAACTACGAGACCACCATCCATCCTAAATAATACGCTCCTAATCAATGCTATAATAAGCCATTATTAAATAATAACCCGTAGAAGTAAGAACACACCATTCCCGTTACCCTTGTCCTTTGGGTCTTCTTATATGATTTACATGGTTAGTTGGTGGACTTGGTTGGACTTTACATTCCACAAAGGTCCTGAATTCGATTCCCGGTCTTTTCTAATGATAATGATCAATACAGTATTTAGGTTCCACCTCATTACAAAACTTTCTTTATGTAGGTATTCAAATGTGTTCCTCCTATAATTATGGATTTTATTCCTATTTTGGAGGAAGTGATTATTTATTGCTCAATGTTATGATGTACCTACCCAAAGTTTTTTTTTTGTACTCTTTATGAAGATCTATATTATAGTTTTCTTTCTATTGCCTACTTTAACTTCATTTTATAGCTTTCCAAGTAAACAGACAACAAACAATGAGTTAGAATACATTTATTTCTTAAATAAATTAGGTAATAAGTTATAATTTTTCATGAGTTTGTAAATAATTCTTAACATAGTTAGCATACTTATTTTATAAGTTTATTAGCTAAATAAATTTTATAAGTTTATTAGCTAAATAAAATATAATCTTCCCCTTCCTTGAGATTCAATGATTTGAGATTGCTTTCAAACTGACCTTTAGTAAGATCCAATTTAACACATATAACCAATGGAGGCTTGGCATCTCTAAAATGTATCACAGGTATTTTTTTAATTATAATTCTTTTTTTTTGACAATATAATTCAATAGTGCGGCCAATTTTTTTAACATCAACATCACAAAATGCAGTTACTTTCTCCAAGTTTTCTGGTGATAAAGCTCTAACTAGCTTTCTTCCAGACTTTCCAGCATTCCATACTATAAAGTTTGACCACTTTGGGAATACATGAATCTGCAGTCTTTCTAATTGGATTTGCCATATTAGTTCTCGTTTTACTGAAAATGTTGCAGAAAGCTCATGATATGTATAAATAACTAATTCTTCATCAATTCTATGCAAATCACCACCTAGATCTACATGGTTGTAAAAGAAAATAAGATCTTCAGGTGTTCCTAATCCAGATTCATTAAACCCCCCAACTCGGTCATATACAGATTTATGGCAAAACCAAGTGGGCATAAGTAAAGTTGGTCCGTTAGACATATAAATTTGAAGTTTTAACTGTGCTGGAGTTAGACTATTAGCCCAACGAACAAACCGTGGTGTGGAATTTATTGGAGTTCTACAAACTCTACTACCAACTAAGGTGTTACGATGATAATTAGCATAATTCCATTGTAACATTATTCTGTCTTGATGCATTATGTCATCAATGTCTTGGAAGCATAAAAAAGAACCACAACTTTTCTTAACAGCGCCATTTTTAGCCGCACCAACACCTTTTGAAATTGGTGATCCCGTTATAATTAAATCCACGCCACATTTACTGAAGTGCTCTTGCCATTTCGTTAATAACTTAGCAGAATCGTCAATACTGCCGTCATTGTAGACAACTATTTCAAGTTTTATGTCCGTGCTAATAATGGTTTGTGATGCTATTGATTTCATGCAGTTATTTATCCATTTTACACCATTATAGAGTGGTATTATTATGGATATATCAGTCATTTTATTTACAATTTAAATGCACAACTTTATTTTTAGGACATTTTTGAAAAAAGTGCAACAAACAAAAGCAAAAAAGCAATGTCAAATTGACTGACATTGCTCGCTCGCTAGTCTATGCCCCGCATGAAACATCCAAAGATTATGTAATTTCATTATGAATCATTTATTTAATGCTACGGTTATTATTAAGACTTTATCAGGGTGTAAAGGAGTGGTATACTTATAAAGAGTGTATTCGTCACTGAATTTTTTAAAAATAAAATCATCTCGCTGATAAGCTTATATAGTTCCAAAATACTGGACTGTCCTGTCGATGACATTGACAGTGGGGCGCCACCGTCAATACCGGATCGCTGGTTCAGATTTTTGCCATGTTGGAAACCATATAGTTGAACGATGGTAGCGCCCCCCTGTCATTGAGTTTGGCGGGACAGTTCAGCGTGGGTCATCTATATGTGCATTGCGGTAATTTTTAACGTCTCCAATACATTGGCGCTTCTTCACTAGTTGCGCGGGGCCAAGGTCTCCAATGTGTTATTCAAATCTCCTCTCCTCTCCGCTTCGAGCATCAATAAGGGTGAAAAGGGTGATTAACACAGTTGCTTGTTACCTCACTATCTTTCAGCTGTCAGTTTTGTCACTGTCACAACACATCTGTCACATTTCTTTCTGTTTCTGCCTCTTCGCGTTCACGTCGTCCTCGTCTCGTCATTTCTCAGTTTGAGTTTCGGAATTGAGTGTTTTGTGATTTAAACTATTGGCTTTTTGAACAAATACAATGGGTATCAAGGAAGCTAATATATATCTCGATAATCAACTGAACACTTATTACGCTGGACAAACTGTTAATGGCAGGATTGAATACGTGTTCGACAGTCCCAAAAAAGTTAGAGGTAAGACTCATTGAAGAAAATTATAGTTTGATGCGTATTGTATGACTCATTTAACTTGGAATCCTATTAAAGATAGGTCGATACATTAGTTACTGATATGAACCTCCTCTGTTGCAAATTGTCTATGGTACTTTAAGAATGATACAAGTGACATCTTTGTGGAAAATATCTTGATCTTAATTAACAGAAATGTAGCTCATTTATTAAGTTGAATAAAGCCTAGTTTCTGAAGGCCGTATCTTTTCATTTGTAACAATTTATTCAACTTAATTGTGACAATGTCTCATAACGAAACTGTGTCGTCGAGTTCCATCACGAGAGGTNGTCAAGGAGGCAACAGTGACTCGGTCGGCTACAGTGGCTCAGTCATGTTTCGACCTGAAGGCATAGGAATATATATTTGTCTCTTTTACCGATTCAAAGGTCTTGGTACCCGAACACGTTTAAACCAGTTTGCTCGCCGGTCAAGTGCCGTGCGGAAGGGTGAGGGAATGTTTTTTGTTTTCGCGCCCACTAAATTACATTCTAAGGTGAGTTTCGATTGTTTTCATATCTTTGTTTGTTGCTATAGGTAATAGCCGTTATATTTATCGGATAGTAGGTCTTGTATCAATTGTCTTTAATCCGAATTTTGACTAATTTGTTTTACATCTTGGTTTTTTTGATCAAATATTTACAAAATGGCGTAGAAGTACACAGTGACTCAATTTTAATACTTTATACGAATTCAATATTTTTATAACTTTAAATCGAATTTTGTTTTTTATTTACAGAATGTCTCGGAAAAAAACCGACAAAAAAATAGGGAAGAAATAAATAACGAAGAGATTGAGATGAATTAAGATCTTATAGGTAGCAATAAAAGTACTAAGAGTCGTGTTGAATTGTTGATTATAATAAGAATAGCTTGTGCAGTTTTGTTATTATTTCTAATAAAAAACTACGCGGAATGGGCATTTTCTTTTCATATAAATACTGCCGTACCACGTTAATACTGTGTACCACGGTAGTGAGTCAGTGTGTACACCTAGTAGTCCACAGTGGCTCAATTATCATTTTTTTGTTTTAGGTTCCTACTTTGACATAAGTAGTAAATAATGTAGAATCATGAGTGCTCAGTTACAGTTCAATAGTGTATCTAAAATGTGAGCAAATTTTAGGCCAATATTAAAGCGATATCTATTTTTATTAAGCTTCGAAAAAAAAGTGAGTCACTGTTGCCTCCCTCACCCTACACATAATGAGTCACATATTTATAAGCAAGATGTTTGTATTGCATAAGGTGGCTTAACAGTGTAAAACAGTCAAGTTTTGTCTTCTGAGTTTCAATCATTGTTTTGTTCCAACCGATCTAGTAATACATGTATATATTTGTATTGTATCCAAAACTAACCTCCAGCGATGAGATAGGTGAAAGATTGGCGTCCATCGACATGTTCCTCGGCCTTCACCCTCGGGTCCTGGTTCTCCTTGCGACGGTACGCCGAGAAGTCTGGCACGGCAATGTCACTGTGTGCGAATCGCACCTGAACTGGCACTGAAATTGACATGTGTTATGTAACTTCATTTTCCACCATCACAAAATTACACGCAATTAACATCATGACCCACTACCCTACACTTACCTTTGGTTCCGGCTTTGACCTTCAAGCCTTGGATTGGGAGAGCCCCGTGCAATGTCTGTACCGTCGAGGTTTTTGGTAGGGGCTTGACAACCAACTTATCGGCAGGAGTGTGCACCGCCGCCGCAATTTTAAGCCCATTTGAAACCACTGGTGACGACGCTTTGAAATAGGGAGCTAAGTGTCCAGCCCGTACAACTGAAGTCATTTTGGAAGCTTTTTAATGCGTTTTATTTAAACTTTTATCTTCAAAAGGGCTGGATCCAGCCAGATTTACGTAAAACCTTGACGTGAAACGTCAAATTTTATGTTGCAAGCTTAAAAATCAAATTTCCCCACAGGGTAATAACATTTACCGATTACCCCATAATCTGTCATAAACTTAGATTTTCTCAAGATTTGATAATGAAACTTAAGTAATGCTTCAATAAAAATCATGAAACAAATTTTATAAATTGGGAACTACGTTTCACTCTTCTGTGGCTTTTCTTGTCTCGATTTATTTCAATAAACTTTTTTGTTAACGTGTGAAAAATATTAACGATTCCAGATCATAAGTAGAGAGTCTTTAAGTCTTGAAAATTCATGTACTAAAATTTACCTTTATTATACAACTGAAGTTTTAAACTATAAGAGCACTCTAACACAAAATTTACAATACGTAGTGAAAATAAAGACAAAACGTCTCATTGGATTTGTTTCAAATTTGGGGAATGCAGTATGTATCATGTTGATGCACGCATGAGTAGAACTTTTTAAATTAAAAGGATGCTTGTTAGCGTGTAATATTGGCTTGTCTTCATAACTCTCGTTGCTTGATCCAGGCTTTTGCCTTCGCAGTTTTAATTTTTTTTTAACTGGCAATAATCGATTTACTTTAACGTTCCGTTACACGTAAACAAAAATGGAATAGAGTAATATAAAAAAAATAAAATCATTTATTTATTTTAAAATGAAAAGGTATTTGAAAATTACATGTTTTTAAAATTATATTTTTTTAAGAAATTCAATTTACGATTTGTAATGCATGATGTGCATGCATGTCGGACGTGTCTGACAAGTCAGTCAGTCAGTTTGACGTTTTCATCAACATGACGTTATCAAAAAAAGTTTGTGGAGGAAACTTTTGAATTTTTTTCAAACTATGGTGTTTATTAAATTTTAAATGGTGTTAAACAGTGATATGAACCTCCTCTGTTGCAAATTGTCTATGATACTTTAAGAATGATACAAGTGACATCTTTGTGGAAAATATCTTGATCTTAAAATAACAGAAATGTAGCTCATTTATTAAGTTGAATAAAGCCTAGTTTCTGAAGGCCGTATCTTTTCATTTGTAACAATTTATTCAACTTAATTGTGACAATGTCTCATAACGAAACTGTGTCGTCGAGTTCCATCACGAGAGGTTCTCGTTATCTAAATCCTGAAAAATTTTCAACGGATCCAAGTACGCCCGGTGCAGAGCTCGAATGGAGTCATTGGCTGCATACATTCCAAAACTTCATATCAGAAGAGATAAGTAATGCTAGTCCTGACTTAAAATTAAAGCTACTTATCAACTATTTGGCGCCTGGAGTTTTTGCTATAATAAAAGGATGTGCCAGTTATGACGAAGCAATAGAATTACTTAAAAAAAATCATACGAGAAACCTCGGAATCGTATTCTGGCTCGGCACATCCTCTCAACAAGACAGCAAAAGCCTGAGGAATCTATACGTGATTATGTTCGTGCCTTGAAACTGTTAGCCCAAGATTGTGATTTTCACGCTGTGACTGCCGAACAAAATCAAAACGATTTCATGTGTATTGCATTCATATCGGGTATCAACTCTCAAAGAATCCGTCAAAGACTGTTGGAAAATTTGACATTGTCATTCGATGACGCACAGAACCAGGCACTGACACTTGAAACCGCCGAAAAAAGTTTGCACTCTTTCTCAATTTCATCTAATCCGACCTCATTGCTTAACGCTATACCGGTTCAACCAGAACAAGAAAAGGAGGTCGATGATAATTTAGCCGCTGTTAATTTCGGTCATAAAAAACGTCGATGTTTTTTTTGCGGTGGTAATGTACATCAACGTATAAAGTGTCCTGCGTTTCATTCGCAATGCCAATTATGCTCCAAGAAAGGACATTTTGCAAATGTATGTCGGAGCAGTGGTGGAACGAGTCCTAAAATGAATGCTGTAACTCAAGATACACCTACGGAGGCAGCGTCGGTAATTGCAGCCGCTCCAGGAAGTCTGCGAAAAGCGACTATCCCCATAACTATTAACGACTACCTTGCAGACGCACTCGTTGACACAGGAAGTTCAGTAAGCTTTATTGACAAAGGTTTGGCTGAAACATTAAAACTAAAGAAGAAACGTTGCAGTCAGTCTATTACACTAGCATCGCTAAGCCCTGTGGCTAAGCCATACCTCTATCGTAGAAGGATCGTGTTCCGTAACTTTAAAGATCGATAAACATATTTACCCGAAACGGAATTTGCTGATTGTAAACAACTTGTGTGCAGACGTCATAATTGGGCATGATATATTTCGTTAATAAATCGTTTTGATTTTGTTCGGCAGTCACAGCGTGAAAATCACAATCTTGGGCTAACAGTTTCAAGCAGGCCCGCCGCTAGCTGTTTCGTCGCCCGCGTGCAAAACCGTTTATGCCGCCCTACGACTACCTACTTAATGAGTTTTGTCAAAAAAAAGGCTAATTTAATTGATGTTTTCTCATTTTTCATGCTATGACATATTTTCTTAAACTTAATAGTCCAATCAATTGGTATTTTTTTCCTGCAAAAGGTGGAAAGTAAAATGTTTTAATGTGTATTAAGTATATTTTTATGTATGGGCTAGTTATGAAAAAAGTGTGTTTTCGAACTCGAGAGGTCAGAGCGTTAGTCACCATCTTGAGTTAAAGGGCCGAACATTAATTATTTTTTACATTTAACGCTTCAATAGTTGACTATATGAGAAAAATGTCTTTGAGAAGTATAAAGACGATAAAATTTCAATTGTTTAAGTATTTTTATTTATTCTGTACGTCGCGTTGATAAAAAGTTATACAAGGTAGAAAATTTTCATTTGCACAAAAATCATTGTAGTAGCCTCCCCATCCCTCTTGGGTAGAGGGACGGTGCACACGAGTGTGCGATAGCAGGGAGTGGTGGACGTTTCGTGTGCTACTCCCGCTCTAACCGCACTGGAGCAATGAAGGGTGCGGGAGCGACCCGCTCAATTTCCTCTCCCTTACCCAGATGGGCGCTTACCCGCTTTGATCGGGAGATGGCCAAGGAGGCTGCATTCGTATGCGATAGTCACGGACGGTGATATGGCGGCCAACCAATTAAGAAAATCGTTAATTGAGGTGTGTGATGTTAAACGAAGTAACAACCAAAATAGCTGCTATGAAATCGCTTTACATATACATGCTTATTTCTGAGGAATAAGGGGACATCGCATAGCAGCATTTCCAAGAGTTGTTGATTTGTCAATTTGATGCTCTGTCAGTCAACAATGATAAATGTCAATTGTGGTTATAGATGACCCACGCTGAACTGTCCCGCCAAACTCAATGACAGGGGGGCGCTACCATCGTTCAACTATATGGTTTCCAACATGGCAAAAATCTGAAACAGCGATCCGGTATTGACGGTGGCGCCCCACTGTCAATGTCATCGACAGGACAGTCCAGTATTTTGGAACTATACGTTTCGGTCCACGATCGCCACTTAATAGATTTCAACAATAAAAAGTATCATACAAAAATTATTTTTTTAATTAAATAAAAATGCAAGCATTATTATTTGTATATGATAAAACGAGATTTATATATAATAGAAACTAAAAATAAACTGTTCTATGTTAAGTTGATTGAGTATATTTCCATAAAAGACAATACATAACCAAACGATGCTGCGTGTAATGGATAAAAGACGTAAAGTTATCATTTGTGTAAATGAAAACATACTTTTTTTGGTAAATGTTGCCATTATGTAAACATTTGAGAGCTGCTTAGCTGATCACGGCTTCAAATCCGTTGAGTAGCTTTTGAGAATACCATTTAAAATTGAAGGATACTTAAATTTAGGAGCCCGTCAGCTGAGTGACAGATTTGAGTAGTGTTTCAGTATTCGGCCGTTAACTTCATAATCCTTTCGTTACGTGTGGGATTTTGCTACTACCATGCCAGAGGTCGCAGATTCGTTTCAAGATAATTGTTCGCGATCGCGAGTTATATAAAACCTATTTGGATATTGTGACAGTGAAAAATCATACGGCATTCTTTTGTTTTACTCTCTGTCGGTTGGATTCGATCAGTACACAAGTCTGTTGAAATTATTTCGCATTTTTACTTTAAAATATACCTGATTCCCTTCATGGTCCTGGATCGAGCCGGATAACTATTGCAATCGAGGAAGTTACANATTTTTATCTTTAGCTTCATGGTCTAGACCCACAATATGAAATTTGAAATGTGACGTGACGTCGTGACAGTGTGTGTAAACCGTGAAATGGTTAAAGTGAATCTTCACTATAAAAATATTTCGAACTAAGATTGTGCTAAGATTTCGAAGGTGTTGTTGTATTTCGATATTTTTCAACTTCCTTCCTTCTTTCCAACAAATATAATTATGTATAAATTTAATTTGTCTGAAAATGATACACAGTAAAAGTGTACTTTACTACTTTTAGGGTACTATAAATTGTCGTTTTATTACTTTTACCTACCCCTACTCTCTTCATTTTACTCAGAAAAAAAAGTACGTAGATCTACGTATTTTCTATAATATGGAAATTGTACCATTTCTACGTAATTTTCTAATCTGTCCTACGACTATTTCAAAATCCGAGTTGGCAACACTGGAGGCAATGCAGATTTTTTTTAAACAAAACACGCAACTCGCAAGGGAAACCTAACAAAACGCCTATAAGTTCTCCTTCCGTCTCTCCACTGAGCACTATGCAAAATCGTATTCAGACATTAATCTACTTTTTATGTCATTGTAGCTTGGTCTGAGCCTTGTGTACTATTTTAAAATAAAATAAGCGCGGTGTTTGGGCGCTTTATTTTACCTTTGCTTGCTAACGTTGCGCAGCACTTGGCGGCAAGTTTGAATGCGCCCACGGATGATAGGTCGTCGTCGGGTTTGACTCCAGAAGTCGAATCAATATTCAAAATACCATGAGCAGCAGAGTATGATTAAAAAACTATTTATTTCTTTAAGACTTTTATTCATTCATTCATTCATTAAGCATAATCATTTCCATCTAAATGTATGACTAGAAGTAAAAATATCACAATTTATAACATTATATTTACATACCTATATTTTAAATCAAATTCAAGCCTATGCTAAATAATAGTGTGCTTAAATAACACTACACTCATTTTATTGTGTATTTTCTGTGATAATGATAAGTTACGTTGGCAAAAGCTACGCAGTACCTACTATACTAATAATTTTAATAAATCATTACATAGTTTTAAAACATAATTTTATAAATAATGAGATATGTAACTATATCAGAGATGAAACGGATATCTGGTAACTATCCGGTAGGCCGGATATCCGGCCCTAATTTACTATCCGTCCGGATACCGGATATTAAAAAACTACGACAATAATTTCCTATTAATAAAATGAAATACATTAATCTTTGAGGTAAACATCAATAAAATGACTTATAATAATGACGGCTTTTATTTAAAGTCCAAAAAGTTACAAAAAGCCATATTAAGGGCTTTAAAAAAACTAATTTCGTTTTCTGGGCTATTCACTCTAATGACGAATACATAAATAGTAAATATGTATCTGTTAAGTCGAAATATTGCCAAATAAAATAGGCGATCTTTTGTTCACTGATGGTCTGATGTCATGATGAAACTAATTTAATTTTCACTATTCAATCACACTCACGATGGCAACCGAAATCGCCTGAATTGATCTGCCCCCTAGACAAGTGGCAAAATCTGACATTCTTTTCGGACTGATTCGATTTTAGAAAAGTGTGACTAGTCTACTAATAGATCTGATACTGATCGCGTTCGAAGCACCTGTGCGGCGCTAAACTCGTCACGACATGCAACGAGACAATGAGCCAACTATCCGGCCGCCGGATATCCGGTTATCCGGCCTAGCAGTTGCCAAACAACTATCCGTTTCATCTCTAAACTATAAATATATAAATTGACCAGCAATAATAATAACATTTTTGTGACATGATATGTAATGGTACTAGGTTACACTGAAACACTGATCATTAAAACTTAACAATAAGCCAATGTATATTACTTGTAAAATTGTATAATATTTAGTTGATAAAATACTCGCATTATTTGATAAAACGGTATGAATCGATTCTTTGTGTCAATAAAAATAATTTATACACTTAAAAAACTTACATGGTGATAGTGAGTGACTAATTTAATAAAAATATTAATAACAATTAACAATAAAAACACTAAGGGTGGGTTGTACCACCTATCTTTAACGGTAACTATGACGATAACCGGTGCTTTTTGTATGGAATTGGACAGATTTTTGACGTTGTCAAAGTTAAAGTAAGATGGGGCAACCCAGCCTAAGGACTAGCAAGATTAACAAAGAGGAACATAAGGCATGCAATGGACAAGTCAGGTAGAATAACTATATGGCTTGTCCAAAGGGCAAAGAACTAGAGGCAAGACACAACACAAGTTCGAGTGGACTTATTTAAGCAGTCTTCAGGGTGAAAAGTTACACTTAAGTACACTAATAGTAGTTATTGTATCAACTCGTAATTATTTTTATCTAAATTTCAAGCATAAATATTTTGATTGCAATGGATGCTACATGGTGGCAGGACTGGGAAATCTTGTTTCCAATCCTTAAATCATATATTTGAGTTATGACTGTTCCCTTATATTTAAAAAATATTTAAAACACCCATTATATAGTAATATTATGTATAGCATAAAAGCTTCAATCTTTTAAGTCCTGCCATTTGATACCATTAGTATTAAATGTGATACTGATAACAATATACATATGAGATTCAGCTGAGTGACTAGATTTTTGATCCTTAAATTATTGTGCTAAAGCCCCTAACTTACTCCTCAATTGAGAATCAGCTGGCAAAGCTAGAGCCCATTTTCGAAGGCCAACAAGAAGGACAGAGCTTAGTACCAAAATCGCCCCACAAATAGAAAATTTACTAGGAATCTCATTAAAGAACATAACTTGCCATAGAAATGCAAATACAATGTCTGCCGAACGGGCAATGGCCACAGGACCTGCCTGTTCCATCTGCAATGACATAGTCAACAATATCTGCCCCAAATAGCTGAACAGTGCTAAGCAAACGACTAGAAATCTTTCAGTGCCACAATTAGGCATACACAGTACACCAAAAACAAAAGAATAAAACAAAGTCTGTACTATAGCAATAGCACCAAAATTGGTCATGATTACAGAGAAATGCAATCCTTTGAGTACCCGTAACAAAACGTAGGCATTCGCCCCAAATATAGTAGACACAAATGCTGCAATAGCTCCTCTTAGGGTATTGTAGTTTTGACTGTGCTCCACGGTGGAGTCACTTCCAAATAGAAATGGCGGATGAGTGATCAAAATAACCCCAATTAACGTCAAAATGATAGAAATCGTGTTCCACATACCACAAGGCTCTTTCAAAAACACCCGTGCGAATAGAGCAACAAAAACAGGCACCGAAAAAACAATAACAGATGCATCAGCCAATGGCATGTTGCGAAATGCGTAAAAACTTAACATTAAGCCCACTGTGCCAACAACCGACCGCAGCGCGAGTAACAATCGCTTTCCAGGAGGAAACACAGGCTGTTCAGTGTAAATTACTATTGGTATTGTGGGTAACAGCACACCTATGAACCGGAACATGGCCAGCTGCATGGGGTCAATGTTAACGAGACTCTTTACGATGACCGAGCACAGTGAGAAAAACAAAGACGATAGCGTCGCCAGTATCAGGCCTAAGTACGGGCATCTTTTGATGAGCGGCCTTTTGTTCTCCAATAAGTTTGGTATCGTCTCGTCACCGCTGCCAGCTGATAGATCGACGAGATGCTGAAGCTCCAAGTGTTCCGGCATTGCCTTAACTTTCACCTGTAACATAAAACGGTGTATAAATAGTTACATCTATTTTTCGTCCCTAGAGCACTCGAGTTGCACTGTATTTCACGAACCTGAGTCTCTATTCAAATGCAATCCTAGAAATATAAAATAAAGCCAGATGCATTAGTCCATAACTGTAATTAATTTATCTTAAGTTTAGTCAAATCCTCTTGGGGTTTCTCAATTTTATTATTTTTAATCCCCGAAATACATGATAAAATTCAGATTGATTGACAGGAGGACAGATAAACGATGACATTGAAAGGACAAAGAAGGACATTGACGTATAACACGTTTTGTTTTACGCACTACACATTTCGATTTTGTCTTTTGGACTTCTAGGGGTGAAAAACATTTTTTTATAATGTTGGCAGTCACAATTTTGTCTATGATGCTTATTTGACATTGACAGGTACATCCGTTTCCGGGCGCGATCAATACGATGCATTTCCGGTCCAGTTTATTTGTTTGCGGCGCATCGTCTCGGCGCATTTTGGCTGGCGCAACGCAATTAATTTATTGATTTTACACTACTACTCGTCCATTTCATCCCTCTTGGATAAGATCAAAGTGTAGTTTTTGGTGGTTTATCATTGAGTGTTAATTCAATTTACAATTATTTTACTTCAGCCGGTGGGGTCAGGAGCAGGCAGGTATAAAAAGTTTTATTTTAATTAAAATCATGAACAATGCTAGCCCGTCTAAAATTCCATCAGTAGCAGAGCACTTTCTTAACGAATTAGAAGCTCGAATTACACTGGCCCAATCCAAACAACGTAAGTGTCTTTCTAACTCACATGTAAAATTATATTTTACAATAGTCTTCATCAAAAAATTCGTCCACAGTTACAGACGAAGACCTATTATCGATCTACTCTGTGTTCGGTCCAGTAGTACAAAGAGCTTTCGACATATTGGAAAAACAAGCCACCCTTGTAGAATACACCGCTTCCAAGTCTAGAAGTTTGATAGAAATAAAAGGAGAGAACGATCGGTGCTACAGGGTGTTCCCAAGAATAAGCTACTGCCCTTGTCAAGCTTTTAAGCACCAAGTTTTAGAGAAAAAAACCGAAGTTTTATGCAAACATGTACTAGCAGCAAGAATTGCCCAGATTCTAGGTAGGACGGTCTGCCACGAAGTAACGGTAGATCAATACTTAATGCTAGTACGTTCTATGTTTGATTCGGAGCATAATGGATGAGGGTATAGCTGATTATTACTTCACTGCATCGATGGACTCTGGGAAGACACTATGCAGTTTGTTAAAAGCTATACAATTTCAAGAGGTGAGTTCAATAAAAAACCTCTAAATCTTAAAAATATTTCTTATCAAAAAATCTGTGTGTAATAAGTTACACTTATCATTGTAAAATTAAACAATAAACTTTTAGACGGCAGTCTTTTGTGCTCTCCCGGAAGGCTTGAAGCTGACGGTAGAGGAAGGGAAATGTGTGCAGGCGTCAGCTTATGTGCCATCTGACAACTTCACAGAATACCATGTCAGAGATGATGTGGATGTCATGTTTAAGGTAATTATTAAGATTTTTGCATTTAACCGATTGAGTCCCAGACGGCATTAATTAATGTCATAACAATTGATTTATCTATTGTGTCTAGATTCGCGGAGCTTGAAGGATTAAGAGATAATCTCTGAGGCATTCAAGTGTTACAATTCACACAATCATCCAAGGCATTAGAAATTCAAGTTTCTTCTGGAATTAAACTACCCAGGGTCACCAACTTCTGCTTAAGAAATATTTCTCACCATTGCAGATTAGCATAGCAGTATTGTCTGAGTGCCTAAACATATTTGGGTCGGGGGAAGAGTCTAGCCTGAAAATGTACTATCGTGGCGAAGGGTCTCCATTATTATTAGTGTAAGTGGGCTCTTTTAATATGGGGTATTTCATGAGTTACTATGAAAACGGTGGTGGGTAAATTATGGTGCTTCTATTGCGATAAAAACTGCCATATTTATACAGGGCAAACCTCAAGCAAAAGCTAAATTGTTAATTACAGAACTGCTTCTCTAGTTTTAACCCGTGTAACCCTAAGCGGTCGCATGAGACCATGGTAATGGTTGATTTCTTTTCTGGGTTCACTTTTACTTGGAGCGCTATGTAGCTTTATTTGACTCATACAAACATAATTTCAGAGAGAAAAAATCCTGGCCAAAACCTGAATAATCGGCCAACCTTTTCCAGACGGCGATGCCGAAGCCTTAAAAATCAATACAGATTCAGTTTAAAATTAGCTGCAAGCTATTATTAATTCTACAATATTGATTGCGCCGTTCTGCGCAAGTCCTCTTTCCACTTCCATTGCGCAGCGCGACACCACCCTACCGCCCTTTTGCTCATGCGTACTAACGCCTTGCTGGAAATCTTTGTGCCCATTTCTGCTGAATCATCTTTGAGTTTCACTGCGCGCTTCTGCTCATGCGTATCAGTTCAATACCGCCCTGCTAGAATCCTTTGTGCTCATTTTTGCTGAATCATCATTGAGTTTCGCTGAAGTGGTTGTCGATTCGCAACGACGTTGTTTCGTGATTGAGATAAACGTGTAAATTCGTCATACATTTGAAAATAAATAGGGCGTTGCATAATCGTCACATTTGCTTTCAATATGAAACATTTCCTCCAAATAACTTTCAATGGAATTGGAACTTAGAGGTGCGATGAATCAAATATAACCCGAGCACCTTTTTTTAACATAAATGATTTAAAACCATAATTTTATCACCAGTCTGCAGCCGCAGTCAGTTCACAACGTGATGACGGACTGCGAAATCGCCACCCAAACGGCTGACTCGGTCCTAGAACTTCGGGATTCAGACTCTGCAGAAGCTGCGAAGTTGGTGCTAAAGGCTGCAGCATTCTTGGGCCTGCTTGCTGATCTGGAGCGGGCCTGTGACGTCATAGAACTCAACCTGTCTCCGGAGCACCCCAACGTCAGCATTGTTACTTATGGGATGCAGGTAAGAACCATTATCGGTTACAGGCAGTTCGAGAAATGGATTTTAGCTTCTATGTTACATCATATTATGTTTTTTTTTCTTTTCTCTGTGCTTCATCTGCAATCAGTCGCCCGACTATGAGCGGATGAGTTGTAGTGTATAATGTAACCAGATTTTATCCCATAGTTTATTCATATCCATTGTGGCTTTCTTTGAGTAAAAGGTTACTTTTAGGTTTTTATCACTGAAGTAAGAAGAATGGAGAAGGGTCGATTTTGCCCCTTCCATTTCCTAGGAGTCCTAGTATTTGAACACATAGGGCTCCTGGGAAATGGATAGAGTAAGACGTCCCTATGCAGCATTAGAGAAGATGATGGCGGCAATTGAAGACAGAAAAGATGTCATGGTAAGAAAGAAGATTGAAGACTTTGTCCCATTGTATGTCTATTGTCTACTTTAATATAGGTACCTTTTCTTTTTAAAAACTTATTGACTTTTGTATAATTATTATTGTATTAACATTGTAGTTTTACCTGTTACTTACCGAAGTATGTTTAACAGGACAGGTCGTGCATCGACATGCCGAAGTCTTCCGACATGGTGCAGAGCTTCAGCTGTGAGGCGCCGGTCACGCTGCGCTACCAGCTTCCCCACCTTCGGCTCATCATGAAGGCGCTGGCTATATCCACCAAGGTAAGTCATAAAACGTTTCATTTCAGCCGGACAGAAATTGAAATGAAGAATTTTAATTTCTGTGACGGGTCTGGGTGTTTTCTATGTATAATATGTATTTACAAAAAAAAAAAAGTATTTAAGTATGTTTATCCCGTCGTCTAGTACCCATAGTACAAGCTTTGCTTAGTTTGGGACTAGAGGCGCAGTGTAAAATGTCCAAGGATATATTATATATGTATATTTATTATTAAATGACTTCAAAGCAGTAGAGGATTTACAGTTTGGCCGCCCGTATGCTAGGGTGGGGTTGGATCTTTATTTAACTTTTATCTTCTGAAATCCGTCCGTCTTCCACTAGTTGGACCGTCGGTCCAACTAGTGGAAGGCCACACTACTGCCTCGGGAGCTGGGCTCGCCCAGTCTGGACGCGGTTTTACGCCTGCCCTACTTTATACTTCTTGATAACGATCAAACCATCTATTTATTTGATCTCAATTCCAAAATAATTATGATCAACTAAGGGCGCTGTCATCGCGCACACAGTGAATTAACGTTATATAGGGTAAACCGTATAGCTATTGCCCACTTAAAGATTTCAAAAACATTGAGATGAAAAATTAAAGAAAGTATTTTAATTATGGACCATTTATGACATTTTTNATTTGAACACATAGGGCTCCTGGGAAATGGATAGAGTAAGACGTGCCTCTGCAGCATTAGAGAAGATGATGGCGGCATCAATTGAAGACAGAAAAGATGTCATGGTAAGAAAGAAGATTGAAGATTTTGTCCCATTGTATGTCTATTGTCTACTTTAATAATAGGTACCTTTTCTTTTTAAAAACTTATTGACTTTTGTACAATTATTATTGTATTAACATTGTAGTTTTACCTGTTACTTACTGAAGTATGTTTAACAGGACAGGTCGTGCATCGACATGCCGAAGTCTTCCGACATGGTACAGAGCTTCAGCTGCGAGGCGCCGGTCACGCTGCGCTACCAGCTTCCCCACCTTCGGCTCATCATGAAGGCCCTGGCTATATCCACCAAGGTAATTCATAAATAAAGGTTTTGTTTCAGCCAAATGACTTCAAAGCAGTGGCGGATTTACAGTTTTGCCGCCCGTAGGCTAGGGTGGGGTTGGATCTTTATCTTTTAACTTTTATCTTCTGAAATCGAGTAAGCGTCATCTGAAATCTGCCGCCCCTAGGCCGCGGCCTATACGGCCTATTGACAAATCCAGGACTGCTTCAAAGACAAATATTCATAATTTCCGCAACGACTGGTCCTGCGTTGCCCGCATCCAGGTACTTCCTGCGACTTTCACCAGACCGTCGGTCCAACTAGTGGAAGGCCACACTACTGCCTCGGGAGCTGGGTTCGCCCAATCTGGACGCTGTTTTACGTCTGCCCTATTTTATACTTCTTGATAAGGATCAAACCATCTATTTATTTGATCTCAATTCCAAAATAATTATAGTCAACTAAGGGCGCTGTCATCGCGCACACAGTGAATTAACGTTATATATAGTAATTTAATTTAATGTCATTTATTTACAGGTGGTGTTACGGTGCAGCGCGAACGGACTTTTACTTCTTCAACTTAAATTGGAAAAAGAAGATCAGAGACAGATGTTTTCAGAGTTCTACATTGTGCCCCTACTTGACGATTGACTTGATGATTACACAATAACAGTCTGTCTATAAAATGTAAGAAAAAAACGTGTGTACAACTGATAAGGTGCAGAAGTTTTGTCTCGTTTTGTCCTAATAAAGACATGCTGTTATACAATTTCCTAAAGGATGTTTGAAAAACATTTTATATGCATTGTTAAGATTAATATTGTGATAAGTAAAATGTTTTCTATTTTGTAAAAGCAACAAACGTTTTTTATTAAGGTCTTAAAGACTGATAAATAAAATAATTTCATACAAAATATATGTTTTATTCACTTTCCAAATGACATACAATATGCAAGGAATGTACCTGATAATAAATAACATATTACCTAAAATAATGTAGACAAACATCAATGATCACTGTAAATATAGATAGAAAAGTGACACGGATTACTTTTGAAAACTTCACGAAAACATGACTTGCTAAAAGTAAATGGGCATTTACAGAAGTTTAAATACACAAGTTTATATATTCAATATACAACGGTAGCCCATAGTCTCGAGTCTATAATGAACGTAGCTAGTTTTTATAGCGTTAATTATTATTAAAACACCAATATAGAGCATGACGCAGAGTAGAAAACATTCACGCAGTCAAACCAATAAACATACTTTTTTACCTTTATCCTAAATCCGTCATTACATAGTTCAAACATTTATGTTATAAATTATTTGATTTTAAACTTTCCTTTCTAATACAGTGATTTTATCTTAATTTTTTCTATTACAACATACTAAAACAATTTTTGTGAGCTAAGTAGGTAGTTTTTTGTGAACTGTCCTTTGATTAACTTCATTTCGTAATTTTCTTCTTTTAATACACACAAAATACTTAAACTTTTCAATTCATCAATTCCAACAACATTTAAGTACAATTAATTTACTTTTACAATAATCGCTCATATTTAAATACGTTGTTAGTATAAAAGTCCGGCTCGAAGGACCAAAAATGTCCTCGAATCGTTATATCTTTACAATTTTCTAACATTTGATTAAACGTGTCCATTTATTTCGATTTACATTAAATTTTCCATTTAACAGTCTGCCATTGCATCCATCCTTTTTTATCTACCTAGCCTAAATGTAAGATAAACCTTAATTTACCAGTACATTGATACAGTATGCTACGTGATATACATAGAACTAGCCCCTGTATGCTAAATTAAGATAGGTACAGTATGACTAGAGTTTTGAAGCTCCTTATTTTGAACACAACTAAGTATTTTTCAGTCAGTTATACGCGTTTCGTCTTAAGAATGTTTAAAATAAGGAGCTTACATGCATCAGCTATATTTTTATATTGTCATTCATACATTATGATATTTTTGCTGCGTTGTATAAGTTCTACCCACTTTAATATTCGTAGCAAAATGTTATTTTACACTTAATATTTATATTAATTAAATCATCCCTTTAGGGTTTTTAAATGAATGAAATAATTTGATGACACGAATTTTAATTGTTAAGCCTTGAATATACATCGCGTAATTAGTCCATACAAGGCTATAAAAGTGCTAAGCAACTTTTAAAATTAAACAATCAATCAGTATACAGGGTGTTAGGTAAATGGGTATATGAGCCGACACTAGCCCATGTCGTGCCCATGTTAACATGGTCATATAAATGGTATGGTGAAGTCAGAAAATTGATATCTTCAATTTAATTATTTAAATTTTCATACACATCGGATTTTATAAAATTTAATTTGTATGAAAATAAAAAAATGATGATATCAAATTTCTGACTTCACCATACCATTTATATGACCATGTTAACATGGGCTAGTGTCGGCTCATATACCCATTTACCTAACACTCTGTATAAGCAAATAAATAGGTAGACCGTATGTGCTACAACATTTACTATGTTCAAGGCTAAAGTCGGTGACACAAATTGGCGAATATTTTGATAACTGGAAAGTATGTCAAGAATAAGTAAATAAGTTAAATAAATACGTTTACTTATGACTACCATCAATAAATTACGTATAACATAGACAAATTTGGCTAAGCCTTATAACTAAGCATTCTTTTACACATTCTTGATTTAACTACTTATGTACCTTTTTGCTAATCAATCGCACACACTGTATTGCACAAACAAAAATTGCTAATTAAATAAATAATACAAACATCGAATTATACACATTATATTTTATAGGGCTTGTCAGGTGACAAAAAATTTCACTACCTACTAATCAAGTAGGATTATAATTATACAGCTACAACGGTGTAGCTGCGTACTGCACCATTTATCATGGTTATAATTCAGTAAGTAACTTGGCATAGGGATTTGTTTTATATTTACAAATAATCAAGATAGTATAAAAATTATATTGTAGGTGGGTTACAACAGGTAATTTCAAAATGAATAGAAAAGTATACACTTTGATCATACGAACGGATAATAAAGAACAAAAAATTATAGCCCAGGAACCCATTAAGTCGAAGAAATAAGATTTTGGATAGTTATGACATCCCATTCCGAGCGCAAATACCATGTACACAGATTATGGTGGTAACTGGTGTGTCAACTGTCAACAAGCCGTACATAGAAGTCTGGAAAGTTAGGCTGGCTCGTGGCAGTTAGGCTGGGTTGCACCATCTTACTTTAACTTTGACAAAAGTAAAAAATCTGTCAAATTCCATACAAAAACACCGGTTATCGTTAAAGTTACGGTCAAAGTTAGGTGGTGCAACTCAGCCTTAGAAGGGTTTCGTAATGATCTGTAGGGCCCAGAACAGACGGTGAAACGCAACTGCAACGAAACTGCAACTGCTAGTTACTTTTGAGTTGCATCTAAGTTTCTGCCATAGCGTCCATTGAGAGACCACACATGACGCGACCAGTTTGAAACTTTCAGTTTCATTCATAAGAATCATCAGAAAGTTGCAGTTTCGTTGCAGTTGCGTTTCACCGTCTGTTCTGGGCTATGTTAGTTTGACGGGACCGCCTCGTGTAGAAGATTTGTCTTTTGTTGAAGGTCTGTCTCGTATGGAAGGTCTGTTCCGGGCGATTCCGACGTCATCACACCCTATCCGGCCTACCAGTGGCGCAGCACGCAGCTTTGACCGCGGCCCACGGCTACACGAAGCTGTATTGGTTATCCACGGCCCGAGTGTCGTGAGGAGCGCCGCTGGCTTGAAGAAGCGCTTCCAACTCCGCTCGGCGCATACGCACGTCACTCCCGTGGGTCACGTTCAGCTGAAATCATGGGGTTTATATGATTAAAAAAAAACGTATATTATAAGTGATCAGGCGGGCTAGGGTGCGCACCCATGATCAAATATTATCGACCATTTTAGACGACAAATGTATGGGCTTATCGATCAAAGACCGTTCATTATGGAAAACCTTGGGGGAGGCCTTTGTCCAGCAGTGGACGTTATTTGGCTAAAATGATGATTGTTCAAAATTGATAAAATACCTCGATAAAAGTTTATCGGCATCCTAGGCTTGCTGGAGAAATGACTTTAGAGGCAAAATATTTACAACAAAAAATACAAGAATGGACTGAGAGATTACACCAATTTGCGCCACAGTAGAGTTAGGTCCGTGGTTAGGTCCTATCACACTTTTTTTGACCATCCACATAACATTTATTTAATATGAATAACTAAAAATTAAATATAATCACATTAATGCAAACTAAACTAAATGTAACATTGATGCAACAAATACGAAACAAAACTAAAATAGCGTGAAAAAANAAGTGATGTATTATGTAGCTACTATGCGTATACTACTTTTAAACTTACTTATTTTATTCTTCACTTTTTAAGGTTTTGAATAATTTAGTCCTAGTCCTAGAACCTACCCGAACAAAAGAGTAGAATCTACCAAAATGAGGAAATAACGATTTTAGACATTAAAATCTCGGAGATATGGTTGCATTTTTGGCGTTTCTTTTCGTGGCGCTTCTACTTCATCTATGGTTTACAAGTTTTTGCGTTCCATTAGACGAAATATTTATTTTTTGTTTACTAAAACTCATGAAAAACTCTAAAAACTCTACTTTACTCAATTGCCGTATATTTTGATACGGTAATCAAAGTGCTGCCGTATACCGTATTTATGGTGCCTAAGATGCGTGAATGCCGTATATTACGGCAATTGCCGTATCCAGAACAACACTGCGCGCCGCGCGGCCAGGCCGGCCGGTCGAGCGTTGCCACACGTTGCCAGCTCTCCGCTCGACCCGCTCTCCCGCAAAATGTTTACGCGCTAAGCGCGGTAACCACACTACGTTATTAATTGGTTAGGAAAAAAATAGTTGATGTTAAAATTTGACCTACCTATTTTTTATTAAAAATGTCATCTATAAACGATACCTAATGTCAGGAAAAAATTTGGATACTGATACAAAAGTCACCCTGTATAGGGCTTGTCAGGTGACAAAAAATTGCACTACCTACTAATCAAGTAGGATATTTAATACAGCTTCAACGGTGTAGCTGCGTATTGCACCGTTTATCATTGTTGAGAATTCAGTAGGTAACTTGGCGTAGGGATTTGTTTTATATTTACAAATAATCAAGATAGTATAAAAATTATATTGTAGGTGGGTACAGCAGGAAAGTTCAAAATGAATAGAAAAGTATACACTTTGATCATACGAACGGATAATAAAGAACAGAAAATTATAGCCCAGAAACCCATTAAGTCGAAGAAATAAGATTTTGGATAGTTATGACATCCCATTCCGAGCGCAAATACCATCTGGAAAGGGGCGTGGCAGTTAGGCTGGGTTGCACCATCTTACTTTAACTTTGACAAAAGCAAAAAAAACTGTCAAATTCCATACAAAAACACCGGTTATCGTTAAAGTTACGGTCAAAGTTAGGTGGTGCAACTCAGCCTTAGAAGGGTTTTGTAATTATCTGTAAGGCCCAGAACAGACGGTGAAACGCAACTGCAACGAAACTGCAACTGCTAGTTACTTTTGAGTTGCATCTAAGTTTCTGCCATAGCGTCCATTGAGAGACCACACATGACGCGACCAGTTTGAAACTTTCAGTTTCATTCATAAGAATCATCAGAAAGTTGCAGTTTCGTTGCAGTTGCGTTTCACCGTCTGTTCTGGGCTATGTTAGTTTGACGGGACCGCCTCGTGTAGAAGATTTGTCTCTTGTTGAAGGTCTGTCTCATATGGAAAGTCTGTTCCGGGCGATTCCGACGTCATCACACCCTATCTGACCTACCAGTGGCGCAGCACGCAGCTTTAACCGCAGCCCACGGCTACACGAAGCTGTATTGGTTATCCACGGCCCGAGTGTCGTGAGGGGCGCCACTGGCTTGCAGAAGCGCTTCCAACTCCGCTCGGCGCATACGCACGTCACTGCCGTGGGTCACGTTCAGCTGAAATCATGGGGTTTATATGATTAAAACAACGTATATAAAAAAGTGATCAGTATTGTGGTAAAATACCTGCCTTGTTTGTTATGCATAAAAAAGTAGGCCTAGGATGCGCGCTCGATAAGCGGTTATCGCGCCATTTTATCGATTTTACGCGATAAGCTCATACATTTGTCGTATGTCGTCTATAATCATCGATAAGATTTTATCACGGTGCGCATCTTAGCCCGGCTGGACAGATTATTCGGGGACAAAATATTACAACAACAAAAACTAATACAAGAGTGGACTGAGAGATTACACCAATTTGCCACAGTGGCAGAGTTAGGTCCTGTCACTCATTAGTGGAAGACAGTGATGTTAACTGAAGCGGTAGGAGAATAGTAGATTAAGGATAAAAAAATACAGGAACGAATTCAATTTGCTGACTCTCTTTAACCATCCACAATAGATTTATTTAATACGAATAACTAAAAATTAAATATAATCACATTAATGCAAACTAAACTAAATGTAACATTGATGCAACAAATACGAAACAAAACTAAAATAGCGTGTAAAAAAAGACACTTACCACAAACGATGTGCAAATTCAAAAACTGGCAAAGGAAATAAAAAAACATACAGCAAATAAAAAGTCAAGCCATTCCATACCATAAGTTTAATATGTAATAAAATTTACAACCAAGGTATTATTTTAAAGCTCGGAAGAACATGATTGTGATCTGTACAGACATACAAACATACATTTAAAAAATTCCAATAGAATGATGCAAACTATATTTTATACTCATAAGAAATCAAATTATTAAATAAACTCATTATCTAGCTAGGCCGATTAATACACATACAAAAATTTATACATTTTCATTATACAATAAGTTATCAAAACTGTACAAGCATCATACTATTTAGAATAAATATTATAAAACATACTTTGTTAGTAGGTACACTTTATTAACAGTCAACATAATAAAATCATATTATTATTATGACATTATATTTTATAGAAAACAATAAGTATAGTTAATTTAATGTTTCATTTAAGATACTTAAATAATATTTTCAAAATAATAATATGAATACATTCCCATTGAACAAAATCAGTCTAAAACTACATACATGGCGATGCTTTCAATTAAATAAAACAATATATCGATAAAATGCAAAAAAAAGTTAAATAAAACTAATTCTACATGAGACTATGGTTAACCTATACATGTAATAGTAACATTATATCTTTTGTCGATAATGATGCAGTTAAAATCCCTAATATGTGTTCCGTAAGTCATAGATAATCCTATTTTATAAAGGTGTCTAGTTTTCAAGGCTATAAAATTTTTGGTGCAAAATGTACCTTAAAATATACAATTTGTCAGCCAACAGTTAAAGGTGTGTTTCCACTAGGAAACAACACGTGACTGTTGTATGTTGCATGATTTAGTTAGTTGACACCACAAAAACTGTGACATTATTCATATTTCAATAAAACACAAAATAATAACTTTACAATTTTATCAATATTGTAATGTATTCAAGTATAAAATATTTTTATATAAGATATTCCATTTGTGTCACGTTACATGAATAAAATCAACAAAAACGTATTGAAACTATGTATTTTTAAAATATTTAAATATGTTTGTGCATTCAAAATCAAGAAAACTGGTGTTTGAAAGCTCATAAATTAATAGGCAGTGAAAATATAAATATTTTGATTACTTTCACGATGAAAAATTTTACCTTGATAGGCCAGATTACGGTATACAATATTCCCAATATTTATTAATAAAAAATCAGATCTACATTAAACAAAATTCTAACAATCTTTTAAAAAAATAGAATGATTTTTTGTTATGTATTAAAACATTGCAAAACACATTACACCAAATAAAAACGATAAAAACAAATTAAAATCGTGCAACAAGCATATAAAGCTAAGTGGATGATATAAACAATAAATAAATTCTTAAGAATTTCTTTTCGTTTCTTCATTCCTTGTTTTGAGAATATTTATTATACTGAACTTTTACGCCTGTAGTCACAAACATTACTATGAGGTCTCACAGTGCGCGTGGACGCACAGGGTCACGCGCGAACCAATCACAGAGCTCTATTCAACGCTGTGCGTTCGAATTGCTGCTTCACGTAAGCAAGCATCGTTTGTGAATACGGGTGTTAGTAAAATATCAAGACAGATAAAATATAATTCAAGTAAATGACACTTGGTACTTTGAAAAATCTACTTATATTTAAATGGCAGTTGGGAAGTAAGAACACTTATCTACTAGTAGCCTGTAAGACTAAACTTGAGTTGCATTGTTACTAAAATTATAAAACTATTTCTTAGGAGATGTCATATTGGGACAAAATTTCAAGTTATTTATAATTTTCAAATTGGGACAAAATGTTTTAAAAATCAACTAATGCTTAATTTCATTTGTTCGCTTCAATTCTCAAAATGAATAGGTATGCCGTTAATATTGGTCTCAAAGCTTTAAAACGAATAATTAAAATATTAGATACCTAAATAATTTGTAGTTTGACGTCCAACTAAATTATATTTACAAAAGAAAAGAATAAGATAAATAATTGTTTTTTTTTCTCGAATAAGACTTTTTAGCCACGGTGTAATCATTATAGTTCTAGGACTCAAAAATTAGGAGGGGGTTAGCAAAAATTACACTAAAAGCTGACAACTATATGCTACAACATTAAAAATGCACATTCCACTTAGTTTGATCAGTACTATCACAGAATGCGTGTTTTATTGAACCAATATAATTTTAGAGGTTGGCACTGAACGTATAAAATTTGTGATCTTTTTAAAATACACAGACCATTGAGCACGGTATTGCATAAGCCTTGGTCAAACAGGTAGCGTTCCTAGCGTATCATGACGTCACGAAACAACAGCGTAACGTCAAGTGGCGACGTTATAGCGTTACGTCACGAGACAGGGCTATAGCTTAGCGTCAGGTGGCGCTAGTGTGCCGTGAAACTGCGCTATCTTAGGAACGCATTGTGTTTAAGAAGGCTTGTTTGTATAAATATGAATCATACAAATATCGTAGAGCGCCTTTTTGTCTTAATAAAGGGCATATATTTTAAACATTGGTAAATGCTTTTAGTAAGTCCAGTGGTTAGTGAAGTCCATTTATAAAATTATATACAATTAAGTTTGTAAGTATAGTCTTGCTAGGAACATTCGGTGGGACTTTAATGCCTCTTTGAATTTACAGAGAAATATAAATTGAAGAATATGATTAATATCCACTTTCAAGACTAAATAATATAATAGCTCAAGGAGCTACAATATTCAAAATATTTAATATAAGATTTTATTTTCTTCCTAAATATTGAGTTATGTAGGATTTTACAATAAATCTTATTAGGTAATACTAGCTTTCCGCCCGCTGCTTCGCCCGCGTGGTATTTTATCTGTCAAAATGAAAAACCTGGATAAAAACTATCCTATGTCCTTTCCCGGGACTCAAACTATCTCTACGCCAAATTTCATCAAAATCGGTTCAGTGGTTTAGGCGTGAAAGCAAGACAGACAGACAGAGTTACTTTCGCATTTATAATACATATTAGTATAGATTTATGTGACATTTTATAAGTGTCTTATGAAGTTATGATGACTGGGCAGTAGTTTCAACGAATGGTTTCAATCTAAAAGTTAAAATAACAGTAACTGAAAAAACTGTGATAATTGAAAACAAAATGTTTTACGAACATTCATACAGATACAAACTACTATTTAAAGTAAAGCTTGAGCAATAAATACGAAGTACATAAACATAATGAAATCTCATTACATACAAGCGACACTTCTAGTACGATTGTGGATGTTCTCGATTGCTTTTGACGAATTGCGAGATATCCAATATAATTTGGATATACATAATACCCTACAAGTTTTCTAAAATCTGATATTTAATGTATGTTAATGACACCTGTTTCTTTTAAGGTCCCGAAACAAAAATATTGACTTGTCTAGCGATGTGTGTCTGATGTCGTTAAGACGCATACATAAGTATTCTGTTCTGTTTAGGTTAGCGATATTGAAACTGAATCTAAATACACTAAAACAACATTTCGCCTTTCAAACCTAAAAGTAACGAGCACACCTTGAGTTCCAAAATAATCGATTAAATGTCTCACAATCATAAGACAATCGACTACACCAAGAAAATTACAATATTACGTCAAAACCGGTTTATTCTCAGTGAAAAAAGCGTTTGATTTACACCATCAAATTACTTTTCTAAGCCATAAACGACTTGTTTCGGTGAAAAGAGCGTTCGATTTACGTAATTTCCTTTTGTAACGATTTCAAACCGAGCACAATCACATCTCGCGTCCAAAAACAATCGATAAAACTTCCCACAATCGCCTACGCATTCGAAAACAATCGAGCATCGCGCGCCTAGTCTCTCACTTGTTGGCGGCCCGCGTCCTGGCACGTACTTGGTCAGCGTGACGTCAGCAGCGCCGCCCGACTCCAGCGGTATGAAGTAACTCGAGATATTGTCCCGATTCAAAATAACAAGTCTTTTGAGTAATCAAACCAGAGAAGACGATATAAATCGATCATACTTGACGAAAGAAAAATCGAATAACAATATCGAACGAATTGTCAAATAAGACTCTGACTTAGCAAATGTTTGCTAATGCAACCTGACACGCAAACATTTTTGTGGTATACGCCAAAAGAGGTCATTTTCTGTGAAAAGAGCGCGCAATTTACGGTATCGCTATCTACCAAGATCTCAAAACCGAGCACAATGACGTCTCACGTCCAAAAGCAATCGATAAAACATCTCACAATCGTAAAACAATCGACTACGCATCTCGCATTCTAAAAACAATCGAGCATCGCGCGCCTAGTCTCTCACTTGTTGGCGGCCCGCGTCCTGGCACACGACGTACTCGGTCAGCGTGACGTCAGCAGCGCCGCCCGACTCGAGCGGGATCGGGTGGGCTCGGAAGTGTTCGAGCATGTCGTGAACGTTCGGGAACCAGAGGTGCTGGACCCGACACTGGCCCGAGTCACTGAGCGTCATGCGGAGATGTTTCGCGCGGCCCTGGAAATAAAAGGGTTGTAGTTAGAAAGAAAGAAAACACTATTGACAGGATATGAGAGACGCAGGAGGATTCTCTATGACGCAAATGGTGGATTTGGCCTACACTCACAATGAAAAGGCGGGTTGGGAGTAGGGTTTCTGCTCGAGCTTTCTCGAACTCGAGAAAACTCGAGAAATTTGGCTTCATTCGAGACGAGAAAAAAATTACCGGAGCTCGAGAATTCTCGAGTTTCGATTTTGAAGCTTTAATATTCTTGAAAGCCTATTTTCTTAGACAAAAGTAAGTTTTTAATTATTTAATAGGTCAACGTTGCTTTTAGACTGGCATAGTCTTTCCTTTTTTATTGCAAGCTTTTTATTATTATTACAAGCTTTATATTGACTTCACTTGTTAGTAGGTATGTGTGCGACAAATCTTGCAACTGAAATTAAGACCAGTTCTCCTCAACCGATTGAGTTGAAATTTGGTATACTTATGTAAGTACGATGACAATGCAATGTTGTGGTACCATTGAGCTGGTCTGATGATGGAGTCAGGAGGTAGCCATAGGAACTCCTAAACGAAACGGCAGAATCGCATCGAATTTGGGTTCGTTGGATTTGTCTTTTTGAGCACTTTAGTGATAGATGATGTCCAGGGTTATGATGATGGAGTCAGACGGTGACCATAGGAACTCATAAACGAAACGGCGGAAACTTATCGAGTATGGGTTTATTTGATTCGTCTTCCCGAGCACTTTGGTGCTAACTGATGACCAGGGTCCGAAAGAGTGTAAAATAAAATTATAATAAAAAAAAAACTTTTTTTAAAAACAAGCTTTATTCTGAAATGCAGTTGTACTAAAATGAAAAAAATAATTGTATGCTTATGTTCAAGTAATTTCAAAAGCTTGAAGCGCAAACAGAAAAAAGAGGAATAAATACCATGCGCGATTATTTTTTTCATTTTAGTACAACTGCATTTCAGAATAAAGCTTGTTTTTAAAAAAGTTTTTTTTTATTATTATAATTTTTTTAACTGATTTGATTTGCAAGTAATGATCTCAATCGAAACTAAGTAATAATGTTCACCAACGATTATGATATATTTATTATGATATGCTTAACTCTGACTGATTTAAAGACTGAAAATCTTGTTAACTAGACAGTTACCTTACCTAACAGACGTTAGGTTAGGTACTCGTGCCTCCTCGAAAAGTTTATTCAAGTTGTTATCTGTAAGAAATTAAAAAAAATATTAAAAAGTTTTTTTTGCTCATAAAAAAACTATTTGTCGTAATTTTGCTATTTAGTGTGTGTGTTCTTTAGAAAACAAGTGATTCAATTGTAGCTCCAGATTTTTATTGTTATTTATCCTTAAAGTACACGCCACTTTATGACTTTTGTTATGATTATAAATATTAATTATGAAAGAAGATTCTATTTTTTGTTTCTTTCCTTACCAAAATAAGTGGTACTAAATTCTAATATTGATTGTTGTGCATAAAAGTAGGTATGTTAGATTAAAAAAACCTGTTTTTATTAAATTTCAACCGATTTCAGCAGTTTTCATTAAAAGACTCGAGACCCGAGAAAACTCGAGACTTTGGCCTCGAGAATTCTCGAAACTCGAGAAAAAAAATAAGTCGAGAAATCAGAAACCCTAGTTGGGAGCCTCTCCAAGCTTTGCTGGTAGCCAGTTGTTATTCTAAACATAATAATAAACATACTACGGACAGATGTTTTAAAAGATTATTTATAATTTTGTTTTTCATCTGTCATCTGCTTGTACTGGAGGGATTCGATACTTGAACTCCTCCTATGTTCTTTTCCTGGCTACATAGAGCTGCACAGAAGCTACAACTTCTCCAATGCAATAACATAGGAGTTACACTCTGGCTACAAAGGAGTTCAGAAGTTACAGCGGTAGTGCCATGCCGCGCCGCTATGCCAACAGAAACTCACTTGGAAGTTGAAGGTCAGCACATACTCCTCCCAGCGTACGCCTGTTCTGTGGGAAAGGTCAGAATAGCCTCGCTATGCCTACAAACTTACTTGGAAGTTGAAGGTGAGCACATATTCCCCTCGGCGCGTCTCGCTCTGGTTTAGACCTAGGTTACATTAGGCCTACATTCCCTTTGAAGTCCACGCGAGGGGGCTTATGCTGGTTGCTGGTGTCTGATGATCCTTAACTTCGAGCTACTCCTATGTTCTTCTCGTCCAGGCTACACAGGAGTTACAGCGGTGGGAACGAGAGGTGTTCTTGTGGAAGAATGAGGAGATCCTTAAACGTACTACTTGCTGACGTAGCCCGACGGATTAGCAGCTGAAATGGCTTTGGAAAGGGCACAAATCATGAACTGACGGCCGATAGGCCGGAAAGTTCTGGAGTGGAAGCCACTTACTAGCAAGCGCAGCGAAGGCTGCGTAGGTGGACAGAAGTTCTCATAAAGGTAGCTGGAAAGGTGACGGATAATCTGGAAGTCATTGGGGGAGGCTTATGTGCAGCAGTGGCCGTCCTATGGCTGAAATGATGATCATCATANCCACCTCTACTACTTATTTCAAGAAAAATGATGCTGTTTTTCATAAACTTATGTTTTGTAAAAACGAATTGAATGTCATGGCGAGAGTTGTGATAAATGCAGAGGATATCTTAAGTTATGATACGTATTATTTATTTTATTTTACTCAGCCAAGGGTCTCAGTGAAAATGTAAGAAGTGTGTTCGGGTTTTCTCGTGAGATGTTTTAAATAAAATTCGATTTAGTATTTTGGAGACTTTCGCTCAAGCAGAAAATTTGCAAGCGTAGCTTTATGAATGCATCACATCCAGTCGTATACTATGAAGATCGCTTTATAAGTAAATGTTGCTGTATTTTGGTGCAATTTGGACACTGTTTTTCTTCGAAAAGATATTGCATTGCATTAAGGATAGTGGTTAGAATATATCAATTTTAAAGTCTGTCCTTGCACAAAATTGTGAAATACTTACTTAGTTTATTTATTTACTATTTTCAAAATAATAAATACTATTCCTATAAAATTTTACTCGGCACGCTATGTCAATTGTCTAAGCTAATTCCATGTCTTTAATGGCAAAAATCTAAATAGACCCTACGCCAAAATAGCTCATGATAGGGCAATAACAAAACAAGCATTATTTTCAGAAACTCCTGAGAGAAAAATCGTGTCTACATCTATCGAACACATGTGACAGTTTTACTATTCATATCGGCCAAAATCTATCGTAAATCTGAGATCCTTGGCCTACATGTGATATACCATTGGCAAAATTGCCGCTTGATATTCTTCCAGGAAACCTTAGTACTCCAAGTGGTCTTTAGTGGGGGAACTAGAATTTTATCGAAGTATACGAGCTCTTGCCGTTGCCCGAGGGTCGTAAAAATAACAGTCAATAAATACGGATAATGTGCGTTGGGCATCGTCAAGAATCGATTACCTTGTTGGAATTGAGTCGTTATCTTTGTATCTGGCGACTGGGCTTTGAACGGTTGGAAGTCCAGGAATGGCCCTAATTTCTAAACGCGGGAAGTTCTGAGATTGGCAATAAAGAAAAATATTTCACCAGTTACAAGTACTGTTGGTTGTTGATATTACAACTTTGATTACACGACCACTAATACTGATTTCAGAGAAAGCGGAATTATGAGGTAAATATTAGATACTTTTATGTGTAGTAACATGTAACGGATACTAATGCAAAAGCAAATTTTATTATTCTTGTTTATATTAAATAAACAGCTTCTTAGTTAAATTTAAGTTTATATAACTTGATTTGTTCCACATTTTATACCTAAATAAACGAAAAGTTTCGTTGATCTATAAAAATCGGACTCTATGTAGCGTAGGCACTCGTATGTGTCAATATCTATCTACGCTTGTAGTCCAGTCAATGAATGCCTTAACGACGGTGTAGAGAGAAATCCATGGAACACAATTTTTGACCTCGGGACTTTATTTAGCCTAGTTAGGTGGTGAACATAGCAAAAGTCCCCGCCCTTAGCCCTTGAGCCGCCGGGGAGAGGGGGGTTTAAAGGTACCACTTTTCGGTTTTTCGCTTAATCCTCGGAAACTATGCGTCCTAGTGACATGACTACTATGAACCAAAAAAAGCTTATTCAATTTGCTACAGGTGAGACAGTCAAGTTTTTCTATATCTTGTATAGTTTTTGCGGCATCTGCTCTAGAAGGTCTGTAAAATTGGAAATTTTATTGTTGTCTCACATGTTCCTTTCAGGAGAAAATCGACTAAATCAACATTGAGCAAACACTATAGACATGCGGGAGCATGTTAAGTCTAGTTCCAGGGAGGGGACTGCACCGTGCGTATATTTAGACGAACCAATTAGAGCCACTTTTGACTCCTCATCATTCAAAAACTACTGTGCATTAACACTTCAAATTTGGCTCATGTATTGAGACTTGCAAGATGTACATCAGCTTCAAATTTCATAAATATAGCTCAAACGGTTATTTAGGTATTGACGTTCAAAAATCGATATTTAGAGCACTACTAGCTATCTATCACATGTGAAATGTTAAAATTTACTGGTTTTTTATTTGTTCCTTTGTATTTACATAACTACCTTTCTGGATGCCAAATTTGAACCTTCGAGGTCATCTGGAAGTGGTTAGAATTCGGTCTATAGGTCAAACATGTAGATTTTTGGACGTCAATATCTAAAGAACCGTTTGAGGCAGATTTATGAAATTTGAAACTGATGTATATCTTGTAAGTCTCAACACATGAGCCAAATTTGAAGTGTTAATGCACAGTAGTTTTTGAGTGATGAGGACTCAAAAGTGGCTCAAAGTGATTCGTCTAAATATACGCACGGTGTAGTCCCCTCGCTGGAACTAGGCTTAACATGCTCCCGCATGTCTATAATGATTGCTCAATGTTGATTTAGTCGATTTTCTCCTGATGGTAACATGTAAGACAAAAATAAAATTTCCAATATTACAGACCTTCTAGAGCAGATGCCGCGAAAACTATACAATTTATAGAAAAACTTGTCTATCTCATCTGTAGCAAATTGAATACGCTTTTTTTGGTTCAAAGTAGTCATGTCACTAGGACGCATAGTTTCCGAGGATTAAGCGAAAAACCGAAAAGTGGCACCTTTAAACCCCCCTCTCCCCGCCGGCTCAAGGGCTAAGGGCGGGGACTTTTGCTATGTTCACCTCCTAACTAGTCTAAATAAAGTCCTGAAGTCAGAAATTGTGTTCTACAGTTTTCCATCTATAATGCTTTATTGACTGGACTATTGGCACTAAACACGCTTTGTAAGTGTCCACTTTGGTCTGTCTACCCAGAAAACATTTGGCACCCATTGGAGAGGCTTTTACGCTATTTTTAGGCTACTTAATCTCAAATCATTCTTCCCATCGAACGTTTCCATACAAACTATTATTGTTTCCATGACATTTATCGGTAGACCCTCTCACTGCCGAACGGACTGCGAATATAGATGATCCATTTACCAGCAAGGAGTCGTCTTTATCCCTACTAAAACGGTGCTTAATCCCTGCCTCAGATTTAACACGTACGCGCAGGTTTTTAGAACTAAAGTAAAATTATACTTGGTTCAGTTCATTCGGCCTGTTTTCTTAAACCTGAGAGACGTCGCTTAATTCTGAGGGTAGTCTGAGTGCAGTTTCAACTTATATACGAGTATTTCCTGTACGTATTTGCTATTTTGTAGAGCTGTGTATAACTAAAGAATAACCTATCTAGAAACAAAAATACTTCCAATCTTTAGTAGGCAAACAAAATGGTTTAATTGTTTTACGCGATAGAGAGATATAAGAAATACAGATTGTATCTAATCCAACAAAATGAGATGAACTCTATTCTGTTCCTTCCAAATCAAGTTATCGCTAGCGCCAGAGCCTGCGTGATTTCCCGACAGGAAAGGGCTAAGACCGACCCGGCTGTCAATCATACACAATCGTTTATTAGGATCGACGGAGGCCGGCTGATGCCTGACCTCGTCGTACGTCGTACATTTATCATCTGTACGACGTTTAATATGTTTCGGTTCGGTGACAGGGGGAGATAACGTGACGTTGCGGTGACGAGCGATCATAATTTGCGCGTTTTTTCCGCCGCCCGCGTTTTGGGGTTAATGCGATAATTTGCGGTCAGATTTATTATGGGCTCTTTATGAGATGTAACAGATAACTTGTAGAATCTGATATCTTAATAATTAAAGGAAAATGTGGTTTAAGATGAATACCTATCGCCGACAAAAAGGGTCTAAGGAGCGGCAAGGTAAGTACCTACCGTCGTACCTAAAAATGCTTTAAAAACTAACGTGACGTCGTTCTTCAGATTTTTTTATAATATTTCATGATCTTAAGAACCAATTTGACCTCAGCCAAAAGTTTTACAATAGTTAATGATATTGTTTTCACAACTACGCCTATAACAATACATCAATACAGTACGATTCAATTCAAAGAAAGGAAGAAAGCCATTGAATCATAACACAAGTGAATGCGATAAATCAAGGGAAGTATTCTTCTGGCCTAGACACGAGGAAGTAAATAAATATCAGACTCGCCCAACGACTTATTGCAGTCTCTTATCAATTATTTGGTCAGAACACTTAGTTGTTACTGAGAGGATTTGGACATATTCCAATTTGAACAATAACAATAAGTAACATTTAAGAAACATTCAACAAACCAACCAACTTACACATATACTTAAATCAATGTTTAGACTTAGTTTCTATGACCATAACGCTAGACGCACGAAATATACTTTTTATGTTGTAAATCTTGTAAAAATCACACATAACTACTTATGCCTAATGTTTGACATAAGTAACTTAAGCCTTTTAATGACAAACCCCTAACCTTGTTAAGTTGTTAGATACTACCCAAGCGTCATACTTTAAGGAACATACTTAGAGAACTGCTTATTTCGAAAAAAAAAAGTAGCAATATCTGTGCTGTTGATTAAACAACAATTAAACAAAATGAAGAGATGAGATGGTCAATTCTGTGTCGTTATAACCATTCAAACTCTATTGAGGGCGATTCGAAAAATTAAAGCAAATCTAACGATTCTCAACTCGAATCTTTGGAAGCCCATCACGTTTTCGATTTCATTTTATCGAATGCGACATTGCAGCCGATTGTGGGCAATGAGTCGATCTAAAGACAGACAATTTGCTACTATTTACAAGGCGACGCTGAATCAGCGCCATTTCTTTATTTCGAACCGATCGGCGAGTTCGACAACAGCACGAGAATTATTATATGGGAAAGATTCACTGCGTTTGTTGCTCAACCAGCGATGACATAGCAAAATTAGATGAGTATGATAATTTATTCAAAAAAAATGTAAAGCTAAAGATATGTTTCTAGAAATACGGATGGAGAACAACGCAAAAATACCTCTAAGACGAAACTACCAGGACTGATTGTCTATCATAAACTACAACTTTTGGTTTCACAGGTTTTTCATTTATTTCATTTCATTTATTTATTCCAAAAACAAAATACATTGTATAGGAAAATTAGTTAGACATTAAAATTCACACAATCTGCAATTCAATTAAAATAAAATGAATCTAATTTAACCCTAAAATTTCATTTCACATACTAGAATTAATATAAGTGTCAGATTAAATAAATAAATAAAATTATTACACAATACATAATGTCAAAATTAAATAAAATAAATCCAATCTAACCCTAAAATTAAATTAAATTTTAGATGAAGGTATCTGCCAATTATGTAATATTTTCTATAACTTAATCAAGTGAGTGAAACTAGTCTTAGGCTCGGTTGCACCATCTTATTTCAACTTTAACAAACGTCAAAAATATGTCAAACTCCATACAAAAAGCATCGGTTATCGTCATAGTTACGGTCAAAGTTAGCTGGTACAACTCAGCCTTAAGGTTTTAAACGTTACTTTTAAAAGTTCCAGTAGGTATAAGACCATGCTAACTTATCTATTTTTGCTATGGTTATACCCATCCCTTATTTACGGCCCTTATTTTGCTTTTAGCGCTACCCTTTCATGGAATATGTCGTTACAGGAAAAACTATCCCCGAGCGTGTTTACAAAACGTTTGGAAAGACCCCGAGCAGCATCGCCAAGGCATCCGGAGGTTAAATATTTGGGAGAAAAGTTAGCATTCATATACAAAACATACTTAAAATTTTTGTAGTGCCAACACTTACATTGGCTAAAACTATGATCGATCCTCCGGTAACACTGCCAGAATTGTGGTTTTTATTTATTTATTTTTAGGAAGACCAGGATTTACATAGGTAGTACTCGTACATATAATTCGTTTTGAAATGATTGTTTTTTTATGATTTTCGCTTTTTACTATTTGTACAAAGTCTCTAACTGCCTTTTGCCCGTGACTTTGTACCGGTAGATTTCAATAAATAGCGCTTTTTATAGCTTATGTTTATCAAAATACATTCAATAGTTTTCGCGTGAAGGAGTAAAACACATCCATCCATCCTCACGAACTGTCACGTTTATGATATTAGTAGAGATCCCGAAATTCTGTTGAGATTCGTGTAGTAGGTAGTCGTAACTTTTTATAGCGCTGCTATCTTTCGTCAGCATCGCTTCCCTGTAAGAACAATTCAGGATGAACCGGAATAAGTAGAAATTTACTACGTTGTACGTCTCCAGGTATTTTATTGACGCCAAGACTGACGCGGCGATGTCAAAATAAGATAAATAAACCAACAATGCAGCTCCTCAGTATAAACCAGGGGTTCCCAACCCTATCAGTGGTCTACGGAACACCGGTGGACTGAACGAGTTAAAATATGGTCCGAAAACGATTTTAAATTTCAAATTTACATTCTCAAAATTCATATTGGTAGGTACAAAACTACAAATGCATATACCTACCGACTTAGTTTATTTGGTACTTATTTGATTTTCTAAATGCAGATATCTTCCTTTTGAATAATACCTACTAACTATTTTAGATTAGAAATTGTGGTTGAATTTTATTTAAGGATTTTTAATTTATTTGAAATGGTTCCTGTGAACAATAAAGAAATCAAAGTGGTCCCTGGTCCAGAAAGAGTTAAGGGACTATTCCCACCTCTCGTTCCCACCAGTTCCAGAGAGGGTTGGGAACTACTGATCTAAACTGACTGAGATTATTCCGATATATGGAGACGGTGGCGGCCATGCCGTTAAAATGTCGACGAACCTCAACGAGTCGAACCTCAGCTTTTTCAATGGTAATGTTTGTCTGCCGAAGCCCCAATTGAATGATTGTCTTTTAGGAATTGCAGTATTAAGAGAGTGCTCGAATGAGTAATTTTAATCTCCCATGATTGGTGTACGAACTTGCCAGACGATCTGTCCAAATTGTTAATGGGTTCAAGTGAATCAAAGTTCGTTCGCAGAAGCTTGATGCTGGCAGTTTCAACTGCCATTTTGTATCATTTTTATATCTTTAATTCTTATAGGTATCTACTTAGAGTCAATCCCAATACCTGCGTCAGTGACTTAAAGTCATATTATGATGTTTCCCTAGTAAGTAGCATTAATTATCAGTCGGTACATTGACAGTCAAATTATCGTGCATCATTTAAGTAACATTATTAAGTATTTCTTTATGTATTTACTTCAAACTCTATCTTATTTATGACATAAAAACCAACCCAATTCAAAACGCCTATACATAGTAATATACATTAATCCGTCACAGCTCTAGCAGTTCGTGTTACTGAAACTAGATTTTTTACGAGCGAATCTCATTACACTCGCTAAAAGGGGAAAAATAAATACGGAGATCCTCTCTACAAAACCAATAGAATCACGGTCCGAAGGATGATATTCCTGTCGTGTCGAGAACTTGGGCGAATATATTTGTCGGACTTCGTTGGCAAACTGAATAGCAGAAAATTTACTTATTCATTGGAATTCCGAATCGAATGCAGGATCAATGAACCGGTCAGATATCAATTTTCAGGTACGCGATCTGATCGCTCGGAATTTTGGAGTTTGTGAAGCTAGTGATCGGTTTTATTAAGAAAGAAGTGACTTATTCTTTGTGTTTGAGTTTCATAACAACGTAAACACTTTAAACCATTTCAAACAGTTTAAGCACTTACTGCATATAAAGGAATTCTTCGTACCTAAATCTAAAATCTGAATTCCATGCCAACATGGTGATAGAGGATAGAGTTTTTTTAACAACATCGCATGATATGAAATACACTTTCGGGTTACATACATAATTGTAATTCGGATGCAACAAAATATCGCGAATTGGCCAGGAGTCCACAATATCTGGGACTGGCGGAATGCCGAAGTTTGCCAGATAACAATAAACAAGTTGAATTATTGGTTACAACTGACGGCAAACAAAAGCCATACGCTGGCCGAAGTCAAGCGTTGATTAATATTCATATTCACATTGAACTTTTTGTGTTTCTATAAGAATCTAGAATCTAGTCCACGCATTTGATCTATGAGGGTGAGTTGCACCACCTAACTTTAACGGTAACTATGACGGTAACTTTTGCATTTTGTATGGAGTTTGACAGATTTTTGACGTTTGTCAATGTTAAAGAAAGATGGTGCAACCCAGCCTAAGAGTAGGTACGCAAACGCAAAAGAAAAAACATCATACCTACCTACTACGTCTAATTAAATAATCAATAACTCCCCTTTGCATCACGTAGTGTCGGACAAAAAGTTAGTTTTCGCAAATACACTAACAATATGGAATTTATAATGCATACTAGTAATAACATAGCTTAAAATACAAAAGCACAGTCCTCTTGGACAGTTGGGAAAGGATTCACAATATGTGGAACTGGCGCTCCGCCACTAACCGGAACGTTTGCCGAATAATCGTAAACTTCACGGCCTATCCACCCGTAGAGACAGAAAAAACATGCACCATACACTTTACTACACGCCTATTTAGGGCTTCTTCATACTGATATTTATAAATAGAACAATCCTTGTATAATAGACAAACCTAGATAGCTGTGTGCTTTTATTTTGCTTTGACTACTTAAGGTAAGTGCCCCCTACTTCGGTATATTAAGGCTCTTACGACTTTAACATTTTATTTAAAAATAACCAAGCATGATATCAGTATGAAAGCTTTTGTATGCTAAACTTTGGTCTTTTGACAGTAAGTTAATACATAATTTATAGTTATATAGTTTGAACTTTTTTTTATATTAATTATTCTGCGGACCTCTAGTTTGGATCCTGTTTCGTGACAAAATTTTGCTCTGTTTCTAAGTTCGTGAACTCATGTGCCCTATTTCGGGATAAGGTTTTATGCATCCAGTTAGGATATTTTAATAATGATTAAGGGTTTAATAAATTTAAAAACGATAATAAAAATTTAGAATAAAATAATTATGTGAAATTGTCGATATCACTTACCTGAAATATTCATAAGAAATAATGTGAGTCTAAATAATACAATTTTGATTTGTTATTTCTAACAATAAGTGAAAATATTTATATTCCCATTAGAAATGTAGAGGAGGGGGGGGAACTTATATAAGCTTAAGAAGTTGGAGCGCTAACCTTACGGTGAGAGCAACATTTTCACGCCGCACGGCTGTTTTTGGCTCTCTGAGAGTTTGAAGCTTCGTATTGCTCTCATTTTTGGCGCCACAATGTTGGTACTTGGTTTTTTAGATAGCTTAAATAATAGAGTTTTTATAGTAATAAAGAATTTTTATAAATAATATTCCATTTGCTTATTATTTGAGCTAGAAAAAAAACTTACGAACTTACGTACTATCACGAACTAGTAGCCGTTTACCTTAGTTCAGCTTCTAGAACGTACTTTAATCATAGCTTATAATATAAAGTTTAAAAGCCTGTAGTTTTGTAGAAATTCTATAGAATATAGGATTACAGAAAAAAAATGAAATAAGAACCGTAACTTCTTACACGTAAATTGAATGTCTTCTTTTAATGATAATTATTTTGTCATTACCCGGTACTATTGCGTAAGGGGCAGGGCAGATCCAAAATGCTTCTGTATCCAAGAAATATGACGTAAAACGACAAATCTTAATACTAAAGCATGGCATGTTAGCCTTGCGCAATATCTGAGACGGGACATAACGTAAACATCATGGGCTATCCGCCCAGATATGGCGGCAAACAAAAAATATTTCTTTATACTTCATGCCCCATACTCATACATACATCAGTGAGCGACGAACCAGGGGATGTCATTTTATCAAGATCATATTTCAGTTTTATGAAATATTCAACTCTTTCAACGTGACTCAGATGTATGAGATACGGCATTACAATACCAAATACAGTTGGAACAATAATGGTGTGAACAAAACTTTAGAAGGTCCAGTCAACCCAATCAACTACAAGGTCAAGGAAATGTTTTCATGAAAATCGAGAGCAAACTCACTATAATAAACAGGGTATTCACTCCGGAGCTCGCAAAAAAGTAAATGGCTCCTGCAAATAACTGATTGTAAACATTAGTTACGAGTACGACTGGTTTCAATTACCTACTTGGCTATAGGTCAATTTACACACAACACTATTCCATTTTTAGCCAGAGATGTTCTTCTCATTTCGTATGGTAATGAGATAGCCGCATTACTTTTTACGAAAAGAAATTGTGCTAACCCGAGCGGGTTTTCTCTGCTATTTAGATAGCTCTACCGTTTGTACCTGATATATCTCAAGGAAGAAGTTCTAATAGCACATTCTAGGAGCTTAAAGACAGTGGTAAATCCTAGTGATTTACGTTCGTGTTTGTAAGCTTAGACACAAAATTTTATTGAACAATTAGCGATCGCCCGCGAATTTATCGCGTGGAATTCAAAAACCTTTTCAAAACCCGTTCTTATACACCATATTATTATCCATCTATTCTGAGACTGACACTACCAATCAGTGTAACTGTTATCATCATCTTCACCACCACAATTATCATCATCACCTCTAATCTTCGACATCATTAGGTCATTGTGATCTTCACTGCAGGAGAATTTCCTTCACTAATTGACCGAATAGTTTTACCAACGAACCTTAACTACTCAACCACATCTTAATATTTATGATCTTTACTGCAGGAGGATGATCCTCTCTAATTTACTAGAGGAAATAGAAGGAACTGGCCAATAACTGACTACACTGGCCAAACAGGTTGGATTGGAGGCCTTATGCCCGTTTTCACCATCAATCCCTATTTTTAAAGTGACCCCTTAACGTAACACATAACAGGAATTTTGTTTGAATAGGGGTCACATAAAAATTAGGCATTGATGGTGAAAACGGGCATCACTCTTCTCCCTTAAACACCTCTTAAAACATCTTCTTAACAGTCTTCCCTCAGGTGTTCTTATTCTACTTGTAACAAATCCCCCATTCTTGTTTCCAGGATGTCTCGGCGCGCTATCAGCAGGCGTGGCGCTGGCGCTGTCTCCGGTGACGGTAGCGCTGTGCGTGCGCAAGTCAACGCGCGTCACGGCCGTCGTCGGCGGGCTGGTGGCCGCTCTCGGCTGCCTCTTCACCTCCTTCGCGACGCAGTTCCACCAGCTCTTCTTCAGTTACGGTATGTAAACGTTTATTGTTTTTTAATGCAGAACAAGGCAGGTATTTGACCGCAATCATACCTGATGATAAGTGAGATGCTGTCTAGGGTGGTAGGTACATTGGCCTAGGATGAGTGTAGGAATTGCTAGCTCAGCTTTACGTAGATACGTCGACGCATATCACGGCTGAGGATGGTGCCTGCCTGCCTCTATGACAATTTAGTTTCATCAGACTCTTATGTATTTAATTATGGTTGTATTAAATTGAATGGGGCCTGGCCTACTCACCATTTAAGTTAATAACTTAAACTATAAGACCAAGTTAATTTACATAGATTAGGTGCCTACTTAACTTAGATAATAAATTAGTACGGTACTAATAGAAACTATAGGGATATATCAATTGCTATAGTCACGTTTTCTATTAAAGCTTCTCGTGCAATTTAGCAGTTGAGTCAAATTCTCGTAGACTCGATAAACAACAATAAGCCAACTAGTTAGTACCTAATGAAAAGAGCTCTACACACTCACTTACTAAAGTAATAATCGTTCCTTTAATCAAGGCAACAACAACTTCAAAACAAGAAACTTGTTATAATCCTATTCATATCCAATTGTACAAGGAATAACTGAAGTGAATTCAAGTTGAAACTTTTACTCGTAGCCGTAAAAGAATCGATTACTTCAGGATTTTAGCGGTCGTAAAATTTGGGAGTGTTTGGTAAAATGAAATGCAATCAATCTTGCTGGATGTTCGATCGCAGTGTACTCCACCTAATTCGAAGATCAAAAGGTGTGAGTTTAAGCAATAATTAATTTTTGTTTGAAGACCTAAATAAATTTCATAAAAGCAGACAACCAGACGTTACTTACTAGACTAGGTAGATCTTCGAAATGATTAATAGGCACTAAATATTTTTGTTAACAAATAATCTCAAATAGCACACAAATTATAAAGTTCTTCTTCTTAAAAATACAGATCGTATCAGCTATCACTGAGGTCTTCTCGTTAAGAACTCAATACGCCGCATAACTGATTCATTACTGCATTACACCGGCCCAACACAAATAAATGGAACTTTAATGCACCTGAAAGCGCACGCGCACTCTGACGGCTCAATTTATATCATCAGATTCATATCCGAAACTCGTTTTAGCAGACTTCAAAGGTATCCGCTAATTGGTGCTCAGTAAACAAGCGGATATACGACAAAACCTCACGATCATAAGATCAAACATATGACGGATGGAATTTTCGCAATATTTATTTGGTATTCCGTTGCAAGTGCAACTCTGGAATCTGTGGCGCTTTGAAACGCAATAGCCGCGTCCTGTTCCAGTTACACGAACCATTTCTTCGGACATTTTTGAGTGGAGTTTGAAAGGACTGTCCGGTTTTAAAATAGATGCAAATGGATGATACAGCTTGTTCAGTTCACCAGAACCTATCTGAGCCTGAAAATTTACTAAATTGGTAAACTAATTAAATTGACTTAAAAGAAGAGGGTTACATCTTAATACCCCAATTCCATAATTTATTATGCCGTCATCCTTTGAAAATTCTTACGCTTAAATAAATTGAAGGACACTACTCTGAATTTCTGCTTTTGATCCTTAGAAATACCTAGTGCAAGTTACGATTTAACCAAAGTAGGTTTCGGATAATATGAAACTTAAAACTCGAGATGTAGCGAATTTTCCGAGAAAAGTGCTTATTAACCAGAGCTTATTATACATAACAGTGTAAGCTGTATGAAAGCTTACCAGTATAATGTGACTTTACACGACTCATTTCAAGGTAGCTTTGCTATCTGCAACCACAATAAAGGGGAATGGTTGACCGTATCTAACTAACCCGTTGCATTCTCTTTCTACATGGTCTGAACTTAATTAGGATCTGACACACTTTGGAATTTTGGATAACAGATAACAAACTGGTACCTATATCGTATTACAACATTTACAACAGGACATGGTTTAGGTACACATTTTTATATAACCACTAGCTGACCCGGCGAACTTTGTTCCGCCTTAATGGCAATAAATAAGCAGACTTTTTTTTAATTTCGAACGGGATAAAGAGTATCCTATGTCCTTCTCCTGGCTCTAAACTACCTCCCTGTCAATTTTCAGCTAAATCGGTTCAGCCGTTCTTGAGTTATAAGTGGAGTAACTAACACGACTTTCTTTTACATATATATATAGAAGAAGATAACTGGGAGTCAATTTCCTACTGAATTTGACGAAACTGTAAATTTTGTAATGACACCATTGTTAATTGTAAATCATTGTGGATTTTCAAACAAAAGTCCGATTATACCTACTCGTAGTTTCAGGCAACCTGTCCCTTAAACCAGATAACCATGTCTTTATTGAGCACGTTCAGTCACTGATACAATACCCATGTGCAGCGAAATGACCCAATTTAGATGATAATGCTTCCGATGCTGCAAGATGTGGCTCAGCGCATGCTGTACACGTCTATCGTATCATATTTGCAGCTAAACACTGACCAAATGGATGGCCGCTTGATCTGTGGTCCACTTTTTAACACTTTCCAGAATTCTAAATTCCTTTACTTTAGTTACTGTAGTAGAGTCCCTATCTATAGGCAAAGTTTGTAGTGCCAAATGGGCCATATTTGGCCAAACTGTTCTGTAGTAGGTATTCTATACTATTCAGCCTTAAATTTAGCAGTACCTCCTACTTAGTAATTATAATAAGGGTCAATATTTCTATCCAACCCTGCTTGCTTACTATTACATAGGTGTCTGCTATTATTTCATTAAAATGTTATTCAAACCCTCGTAATGGTCTATTGTTAAATGTTTATCTAATTATCAATTGCTGATCAAAGAAATCTAAAAAAACTAAGATTAACTAGAAGAGACTAGATCTATGGCTAAATTGAATCCCTCAGCATGTGTAAACTGTCCAATCCATACCAGTAATTTTATTTCCTCATCTTATTCCACCACGATCACAATAACATCTCTATTGTTATGATAATTAGAATGTTCGGCGAGTCAATAAAGTTTTGATGTGAGAGTGCTCAAACTGTAAAAGTTTGAGTCTACGAAAATAAAACTCGATGGCCCTTACAGGGTTATAGCAAGTCTACCAATCAGATCGAGTTCTCTAAGTTTGTCTAGAAACAAATTTGAAGCGAGTGTGATGTTATTCGTTCTTAATTTGAGCTGTGATAGGCAATTGCTTTTCATCTTGAGAATATTGCTTAAATGCAATGCTTTTTAAAGTATTTTTTAACGTAGTTAATATTTAGACAGAATATTATAGTATGTAGGTAAGTTTTTTTTGTAGGTAATTTTCCTTTTAATTGCCTGTAGAAAATATAAGCGAATAGCTTAAAATTTTGTACCTAACTTATTAAAAATATCCACTATTAAATGATTAAAGGTAGAGGGTGGTACTGGTACCTACCCTACTCCGGATTCTTTAACAGTTTAGTTCAGATGAATGTGACAATTACCTTAAATCATCTCTCAATTTGTCATCCATTGTTTTAACAGAAATCATTTCTTTAGTTATTTTTCTTCATTTAAGTGTTTAAGTGAATAATAACTACTACTTGCAGAGGAGATAGTTATGTACTTTGCTTTCATGACCTCGATCTTATTCCAAAGGTCATGAGTTCAAAACCACTTGTATCAATGAATTCTTTTGGAACCCGTTGATAAAATACCACTTGCTCTACACCAAAGGAAACATGGCGTAAACAACAGCCGTAATTTCAGTGATTATGTAAATAGAGTTAGTCTACGTTGGTATAAAATACACAACGGTTACCGTTTTTGAACAAACGAAAGTGTTGATTACTGCGATTAGTCTTAAGGGATAGGTTAGAATAGGTTAGAAAGAAAACACCAAAGGGATTTTTGTTTGACAACATTACAAGTAGGTATGAATGAGGCGTTATGACATTTTACTATGTATTTTTGTTTTGAGGTCATTTTAAAAACCTAGTTAGAGAATAGAGAAAGATAAGCAATAGGTAAATATTCTACATCTGACTCACAATACTTACTTCAACTGCACTTGTCCGTGCAAGGCATATTTTATATCGTTGCAATGACCACCACCTCATGATACGAGGTATGCATTGCCTCATGCATGCAATAAAACTGAATCTGTATCTACAATGAATACAAATATTTGTTTTTACCTCTTGATATTTTATAGGGCCCGTGACCTGTTTTGAATTTATTGCCAACCTTTGGCAATCGCAGTAAAGGTTCAGTCAAAGTTCTAAAGGAAAATGTTTTATGACGATTTACATTTACAATCTGTGTAGATACAAGTTATTCCAATCACCAACCAAAACACTCTATCAAGAACGATCGTTTTGAGTCACCCCATTGTACTTATAGATGGAGAAGTTAATCGATTTTTTTTATATCCCATAAATATGCAACAAAATTCGATACTGCATGCACAAGATACCCACCATTTGTTTTGTTGCCATATTTAGAATAATTTCCACATCATCAATTTTCATACTCGAGTGATTCGACCGGTGATTTGTGACACATCAGTGTTCGTCCCCCTCACGGAGATACGCTGTATCCTTCATCAAATCATATGAAAGCAGATACAGCTAGCAAAAAGGTTTTTAGACCCGTTTTACAAAACCATGCCCAGAATACGATTCAGTCTCAATAGTCTGTGCTGTGATTAAACTAAATATTGGACAACCTATCAAAAGCTTCAATTTATGCTCGATAATGAATCTAGTAAATACGAACGTAAGGATCATTATTTTGTTCTAACATTTCATAATTCAAAAAGACTTTGTATCCTATGTACCTAAGAATCTTCTTCTGGCGTCTTTCACTTGAATCTTATGTGAAAAGCAATCAGTCTGATTGGGGTAAAGATAGACACAAGAGAAGCAGGGTCAGGAGCATTTTGTAAAGTCTAACACCAGAGTGACCTTAATTATTGTAACCTGCGTAACAAAAAACACATTTTACACCATAAGAAAGTCAATAAAGTTATTTTTTATTAAAGAGTTAAAATCCATAAACTTTTTAAGTCTCAATTTAAATTCTCTAGGTAAACGGTTCCGTTAAGGTAAGTAGGTACAGTAGCTTGAGTAATATTTTAGTGCGATAGATCTATGTAAATTTGGACCGCGCGTGCATAAGAGCCAATTTCCATGCATATGGGGTAAATAAGGGAAAAGCGTCGTTAACCTAAACGAACCACCTCTTACGTTATCGTAAGCACCAACGAACCCCAGGGAAGGGGTTATTTCAGCAAAGATTGTACCTATTTGTTACAGAATCTTAGCTTGGTAGATAATGTAAGTGTTTCACCTGATTTATATTAGGATGCGTAGGCAAGGATTACTTATTGTGGGTTATTAGTAGTGTATGATCACTACTACAGGATGGATGTATGAATAAATAATTTTAAAAAATCACTACCTAATAATTTGTCTCAGCAATTTCCCGGTACTCTGTAAATAAATTTAACTACTTCTTATTACTCGCGCTTCAACCTTAGCTTCAACTTCAATAGCATCCTAAACTTATATTTTGTTTATTGAACTTGAACCTAATGAAATTTGCGATCTGCTCTCTAATTACCTAAGTACCCTAATTTGGGACCTCTTTAATTTGTTTCTGAATATCTTATCGGCTGGAAAATTTTAGTCTGAATTTTCTTTTCAATTGCTATTGAAGCAATTTATAGCAAAAGCACTAATTAACACTAACTTTAATTTAAGTGAATCTAAGTATCTAGGCTAAGTTTTATTAAGTAGGTAATAAATTTATTCTTATTAACAGTTTCCTTATTTTACTTCTGTTAAAGGTACTGTGGTCGGAGTAGGCGTGGGGCTGACGCGCGACTGTTCCACCCTGATGGTGGCGCAGTACTTCAAGCGGAGACGGGAGCTGGTGGAGATTTTCATCGTGAGCGGCAGCGGGCTCGGCATAGCTGTCATGTCCACCTTTATCAAAGGCGCCATACGGTAAGTCACTTCAAAACTACCTACTTTCTACATACTTCCTTCTGTGGTTACAACTTCAACTGCTAGTTGAAAGGTGCGACTTAACAACATTGATGACTGATGATGACACGATACGACCCTAAATACATTAGTGACTATAATAGGTATTCATAATTCATAATTATACATACCTTTTTATAAGTTTTCCATTACCTAAGTGACATTCTCTGATATTGCGACATAATAAAGATAAGGCGCAATGTTTTTAGTTCCAATTTTGTTGAACTCCTTGGTTTTTATTTCCTTTTTTTAGCATTTAAAGTAAGTAAGTAATTTTTAAAATGACTTGCCATTGCTTTAAAATCCTACATAAACTGTATAATATGGACTCAAATAAATGACTAAAGTCGTAAAACCGAGACGCTACTTTACTTATTAAATCTTGTCAACACTTTAAACCGAGACTTAAAGTTTTATGTCGCTGCATAAAAATACTTCAGCTCAAAGAGGTATTTACGAAATTTGAAACCAATCCATTCGGTTTTCAGAGCCATCGGTTGGCGGTTAGGGCTGCAAGCGGTGACAGGAGTTGTCTTCGTTACCTTCATCCTGGGCACGTTCTACCGGTCAGCTTCATTGTACCATCCTCAAAGGAGGGCGATACTGCATCTCAAGAATCAAAATAAGATCAAGCGGAAAATGAAGGACAGGAACAAGTCTGATGATAGACAGCCCTTCTTCGACTTCTCGACGCTAAAGTCGAAGACGGTGAGGATCCTGCTGATGTCAACGGGGATTTCAGCGTTTGGGATCAACACGCCGATATTCTATTTGGCATACCATGCTGAAGAAGAAGGTTGGTATTTTAGGTAAAAAATACCTACACCAGATAAGCTGTTCATTCAAATTCAAACTTTTTATTCAAAGTTTACATTACATCTTGAATATCTAAATAGTAAAGTTTGTACCTACATAATATAATGATGGGGAATACCTACCGACACGCTGTCGACTTACCGACGTAAGTTATTAAGACAGTATTGATGGTTAAATTAGAAGATTCACTAATAGTTCTTGTTAGAAATGGTCGTTCAGTGATGACTCTACATAATAACAAAAATTCATAAACCTACTGCTTCTGACATGGCTCATTTATCTGTCAGTTAGCATAATATTATGGACACATTTATTTAGCAATTTAGCTTTCTCGTTACTCAGCTGAAATGTTGATAGCTTCCGCATTACCCTGACATGACTTCAACCTAATAAAGGTGACTTTATGACTCTGATAGACGTTTATCGTGACAAAGTCGGCAAACAAGTAATTGTACCAGTGCCTACTGCTCGTAAAATGTACGTAAACCTAAATAATATTATTTACTTTTACAGCTAACAATTTACTTTCACTGGTTATTAATTTTGCCGAATGGTAACAAAGTGATTGATAGGTAGAGTTAATATAAAACTTTAGGTATCTTAGTGATTGGATGTCTGGATTGGCTTCAGGACACCAGCTTTGGACACCCTCATACATAGTCAGACACTTTAGACGCTCTAACTAGTGTATCAATCCGTTATACTTTAAATTACTTATTTACCAAAATCTCTTGCAATCTCTCCATTTGTCATAACCACGTCATAACCGACCTGTGCAGATGTAACAAATCGTAATGGTCAGATAAAAATACATACTTAAAGACCTCACTTATTAACTGTAAGTCTAAGTACTGGAGCCACCTAAATTCTGCACTGCATCATCGATGTGTTGGTAGAAGAAGCGCGTGTTCAGAAGCGAATAACTACTATGATTGCTAGAATAAAAAAGAGAGCACCAACAGCTTCTGGAAGGTTATCAAAACTAGATCACCGTGTTCTATCTTTAATTAATCTGCAAGGATCTAAGTAACTAATCTACCTCTTATTCCAGGCCTAGGCGACACAGCAGAGATTCTCCAGGCGTACTTAGGACTAGCATGGGCGGTGGGCTGCGCGGCCTTCGGTCTACTGGTGAGGCAGAACTCAGCCGAGTGCCGCATCGCGAGGCAGTACCTGACGCAAGCAGCGGTTTTCGTATGCGGACTGGCAACCATGGCGCTCACGGCTGTCGAGGGCTCGTATAGGGGATACGTGATGTTTGCATGGGTATACGGTGAGTATACAAAATCAGTAAACACATTTTGTTACTTATTACATCATCATAGTACAGCCATAGGACTGCTGAACATAGGCCTCCCCCAATGATTAACCATAATGATCACTTTACATAAAACTGATAAAAACATAAGCAGTTACAGACTGGCTCTTNGATTTAACACGGATTTGCTGCCATCTTTATTTTTAACCCTTAAATGCATAGTGTTGCCATATGTCTACGAAGTACTTTTTTGATTATAAAAAGTAACACATTTTATAAGCGTTTCTGAACGTACGCTAATATCAAAGAAAACATCATAATAAAAATAAAAAAAACGCAAATGAAGGTAGATTTGAAAAAAAATTAACTGATATTTGACATAGCGATTGCGAAAGAGAAAAAATTGGTAGTGTTAAAATTTGTGGTATTTGAATTTCGGATTCAGTGAGAATTAATTGCTAAAACGATTGGAAAAAAATACATACGTGTTAGAAATAATTAAGAATTCATTATTATAACTTATTTTTTTGGTAATCTATCCCGAATGTGCCTTCGACTTGATTTTTGTGTATGTAGCCAAATGTCTACACCATGCGTTTATGCCATAAAATTGTTCTATGGTTTGCTTATTTGGTTTTTCTTTTCAGCATGTTTGGCTTGCTATCTGAAGAGGAAATTGAGGCAGCTCATGCTGCTTTTAATGATGGTGCAGTCTCAGAAGATGATGAAAATTTAGATGATGATAATATCGATTTTTACCCAAACGTACGGGATTTATTGCATGGTCTGGATGAGGAGTCCATAGATCATAATCTACCCTTGGAACATAACGAAGATCTGATCTAATATATGCTCCTCTTCATAGACTATGGGAGGGTTATGTTCCAGGGTCTTCGTTATGTTCCAAGGGTAGATTATGATCTATGGACTCCTCATCCCGATCATGCAACAAATCCCGTACGTTTGGGTAATAATCGATGTTATCATCATCTAAATTTTCATCATCTTCTGAGACTGCACCATCATTTAAAGCAGCAAGAGCTGTCTCAATTTCCTTTTCAGATAGCGAGCCAAACATGCTGAAAAGAAAAGCCAAATAAACAAACCATAGAACAATTTTACGGCATACAAACGCATGGTGTAGACATTTGGCTACATACTGTTAATTTTCAAAAATATGCTTTTTTTTTCGTACTAAGATTTTTTTTATTATTTTTCCCCCTATCTGTGACTAAAAATCTAATTGAAATATTTTTTTCATAACTAAATAAAAAATCATGCATTTAAGGGTTAAATATTACAAGTGCAGTCCAGTTTCGATTTCAATAGTTAACTGATGTTTAAGTTTTTCTGGGATAGGTATTTGATACTTCTCGGGTTGTTGAGACATAAAAATTTGAGAGATTACCAACGGCTGTCCGTCTACGTTTTCTGGCCCATTATAAACAAAAAGTACCTAGCTATGTAGTTAAGAATGTAAAACGTCACTTCCGCAGGTGTAGATTCGAGCTTCTTCTTCAAATTAGCATCTGTACCTACCTACAGTCAGCGTCAAATAGTTCGTGACACCAAAAGTATAGATGACCCACACTGAACTGTCCCACCAAACTCAATGACAGGGGGGCGCTACCATCGTTCAACTAAATGGTTTCCAACATGGCAAAAATCGGAACCAGCGATCCGGTATTGACGGTGGCGCCCCACTGTCAATGTCATGGATAGGACAGTTCAGTATTTTGGAACTATAGCCAAAAAGTTCGCAACACATCTTGGAACGCGAACACAGATAACGCGAACTATTTTGACGCTAACTGTACCTTACAAGTTTTGAATTAATTACCAATGATGTTTCCATCTCCAGGCATCTTCTGCGGCGGCTACCACTACTCGCTGAAGATGTACACATACGAGCGCGTGCGCTCGCGCAACTTCGCGCGCACGTGGGGCTTCGTGCAGTGCTCGCAGGCCGTGCCCATCGCCATCGGCGTGCCGCTCTCAGGTGAGTATATCTAATTCAGGGATGTTATGGACATCCGTAACCGTAACCGAAACTTTCGGATATCCGAAATAAAAAATATCCGTAACCGTAACCGATTCAAAGGTTTCGGATGTAAGCAGAGTCAAGCAAGTCCCTACGCTGATTTAATGATTGCATTTTGAGTACATGAGTTTTTTCCTTAATATAAGATAAAAGCTTTTTTGTAAGACCAAAAGAAGGTAAGAGATGCCAAAGAAATCTCTTAAGTACCTACCCATTCTATTCGTAGGGGATGAACTGTGTTGGACAACTAAATTGGAATATACACTATTGCATTCTATACTTAGCACACTAGATAACCGTAACCGAAACTTTCGGATATCCGAAACAAAAAATTATCCGTAACCGTAACCGAAACCGGTATAATATTATTCCAATATCCGTAACCGTATCCATAACTGAAACTACATGTCCATAACATCCCTAATATCTATGCTAGCCTAGGCCCATCCTAATCTTCAGGTTAATATAGCTGTTACGGTCAAAGTGAAAAATGTGAAAATTATGAATAATCGCCGGTTATTATGAATAATTACCACATGATTTGGTAAATGTGATTAATATGAGGTCATTTGTGTGTATAAAACTAAATTGGCGGCTTAGGGGTGGCCCAAGGGCCACCCCCGCCGCACCTTAACCTATTTTTCACTTTAAATCAAAACATTATGTTAAAGGCATCATGGAAAAGTAATATTATGCAAGAAACATTCCAAACTCATTATGCCAAATTATATTAATATATGATATCAAAACGTTCAAAATTTTGGCTGTACACGAGCACTTACACAAGATGTTCTCTTTTATGAAATTTGTTAGTAGGTACTAAGGTTGAATTATTAAATAATCACTGTTAAATGTAATTAATTTATCACTTTTACCGCGACTGTCGGTAATTATTCATAATAACCGGTTATTATTAATATCACATTAACCGTAACATAGCGATATAGCCTAGGACCTAGGCCACACAACATCTCTATAACCTGAAGATTCGCGCTATGTCAACGTGTGTAGACAATCAGACGCGTAGACGCTCCGCTTTCGCCTGAATATTATCGTGATTTGTGTGGCCCCGGGGTTACAGAATTACCTATGGAAATTATTATGTTACTGTTATTGTATTATCATAAGTCTCCACTGCAGAAGAATAACCCTCTCTAATTAATCGCAAGCAATAGGGGGGATTTGGCTATAGCCACTACATAACACTCCCCACGCTGGGGATGCCTGGATGTTTGCATATTTCTCCCATCCTACTTAGTCGCGCGTCGTCTTTTATTGACTCAGACTGTAATAGGTAGGTATCGGTACCGGCTATTCCATCCTCATCATCTCAGCCACAGGACGTCCACTGCTGAACATAGGCCTCCCCAATGCTTTCCATGATGCGCGGGCTATCCCGCTGGACTTCTTCCTGTTACCTTTATGATGTCGTCGGTCCACCTTGTGGGTGGACGCCCCACGCCGCGTTTTCCGGTACCGGCTATTTATCGCTATATTAGCCCCTGCTGATATCAGCGCCTTTGGGGACAACTGGGAATTTTTGGATAATATGATCTAAGTACCTAATCATAAATAGTCCCCCTCCGCGACTGTCTTTCTGAACGGGATAAATTCTACCACCCACTGTGGCGCGTCGCTTCCATAAAAATTCTAATCATCATGACGTCTCGCTATCTACAAACGGTTCTTATTTATTTATCTCTACCACTCTCACTAACATAATGTCCTTTACAACGTAAGCACGTTTCAGGCTACATAAACGTGGGCTGCGGAGGGAAGGCGGGGTACTACTTCAGCTCGACTTGCTCGCTCATCGGCTCGCTGTCTCTCTTCTGCATAGATCTGCACCGGCGCAGCGTCGCTCATAAACACACCAAGTATGTATTGTATAGAATCCGATTCGGTCTGTAGATACCTACTGTGTAAATGCTTTTTACTCAATTTGCGTCTGAAGGAAGGTTTAGTACCAGTTGAATTTTTTTCTGACTAAGTTTATTGACACCTTGATTTATCAGCCGGGCTAGGATGCGCACCGTGATAAAATCTTATCGACGATTTTAGACGACAAACATATTATCGCGTAAAATCGATAAAATGGCGCGATAAAAGCTTATCGCGGCGAGCATCCTACTAGGCCTACTGGTCCAGCAAACAGGCGACACGTATTGCCTCAATATCTAACGAGGAAGATCAAGCTAAAAATATATAAAATCTATAAGACGCCCTTTTTCTATTTGATCTCTTATTGTAAAGCAAAAGTAAGCCAAAGTTGATGGTTTTTTGGATCTATCCTGACTATTTGTCATGATGCGAGAATTACGGGGCATTAAGTTTTAAATAAATATAAATAAACATCCTTTACATTTTACACTGCGCCGCTAGCTAAAAACTAAGCAAAGCTTGTACCTACTATGGGTAATAAACAACGAATATAAACATACTTAAATACTTTTTTTTTTTTTAAATAAATACATATTATACATAGAAAACACCCAGACCCGTCACAGAAATTAAAATTCATCATTTCAATTTCTGCCTGGCCGGGAATCGAACCCGGGACCTCTCGGCATAGTAGTCCGTTCTGAACCACTACGCCAAACGGCCGACAAAATTTTCCTTTAATATTTTTCCTTGAATTTGTAGAGAAAATGGCGCTACGTGCGAGTCTGCGTGCGGGCCGTCGCGACGCAGCCGGAGCCGCGATCGCGAGCCGCGTGCTGCGACTGGCGCTGCCACAGCTTTAGGTAATTTTAAACGGTTATTCCCATTTTCAACCGACTTCAAAAAAAGGATGAGGTTCTCAATTCGACCCGTATGTTTTTTTTTTCTATGTTTGTTACGCGATAACTCCGCCAATTATGAACCGATTTGAACAAATCTTTTTTTAGCGTATAGGTAATACCTCAAGGGTGGTCCCATTTAAATTTAATAATAAAAAAAACAACCCCCAAGGGTGGAAAATTGGGGATGAACTTTTTTATACGCAATATCTCCGCCGATTATAAACCAATTTGAACGATTATTTTTTTGTTGAATAGGTATTATTAAAAGGGTGGTTTCATGCGAATTTGAAGAAAATATTTCACCCCCAAGGGTGGAAAATTGGGGATGAACTTTTTTATACGCAATATCTCCGCCGATTATGAACCAATTTGAACGATTATTTTTTTGTTGAATAGGTATTATTTGTGTTCACGCATTTGAAGTCGGTTTTTTTTTTAAAAAGTTATTGTGTGTGTTGCCAGTGATGGTATATGGATCTGAAACGTGGTCGCTCACTATGGGCCTCGTGAGAAGGCTCAAGGTCACCCAAAGGTCAATGGAGCGGGCTATGTTCGGAGTTTCCCTGCGTGATCGAATCAGAAATGAGGAGATCCGCAGGAGAACCAAAGTGACCGACATAGCTCGTAGAATTGCTAAAATCAAGTGGCAGTGGGCGGGGCACATAGCTCGTAGAGACGATGGCCGTTGGGGCAGAAAAGTTCTCGAGTGGCGACCACGGGCTGGAAGACGTAGCGTGGGCAGGCCTCCTACTAGGTGGACCGACGATCTGGTGAAGGTCGCGGGAAGAGCCTGGATGCGGGCAGCGCAGGACCGTTCATTGCGGAAAACCTTGGAGGAGGCCTTTGTCCAGCAGTGGACGTCATTTGGCTGAAATGCACTAACGAAAGATTCCCATTTTACCCCGTTGACGACTTCCTCACTAGGGGTAAAGGGGAATTTATTTTTGAAAAATTCCCACATTCCCCCACATGTGACAGTAAATCATGGCAGACTTATTAAACTCGGAAAGGGATCAATACCGTATCGCCTTTCGCAAGCTGTCATCGCTTTTCGCGAGGCGAGGTGTTTACGTTACGGTGCGGACAAGTGTGCGTTGCAATATGGAGTTTCATACAAAGAATACTGACCACCTCGAGTTGATACGGTTACGATCCCTTTCCGGTCGATAAGTGTGCTACGTCCTTAATTGGTACCTACCTACCTATCTACTTAGGTATGTACTTACATAATATTATAACTATTTAGTTTATACTCATTCTGATTAATCACTAATATCTTATACAGTTTACGTTGACAATATTTAATTGGTTAAACATGACTTAACATGATAAACATTTTCTATAATAAAACAGTTTTTCTGATTGTACTCGAAGAGTTTAATCTTCTGTATAATCGCGTTACGATCCGGCCATTAGTTTCAAAGATAGCCGCCGATCGTTGTAACTTTCTTTTCGAACAGCATTCTAGTAATTATGAGATTAACGAGGAAATAACTAGCAGATCAATTATCGTGAAAGTGAGTTATTTGTAGAGAAAATTTGATCGTCAGATCATTTGTTTTATTCATCATTCTAGTTGGAAGAGAACAAGCACAACTCGAGTTTTCAGACTAAAAGAAACAGATATTTAACTTATAATTATTTCTGCCAATTAAGAAATCGTTTGCTGAAGAAAACCCTTAAAAATGGTTTAAGGTTGGGCAAGTGCGTTAATGCTGTGCAGAAATGCGATTTATGTGCATTTAGTAAATGTATAAGATATAAGAGGTATAGGCGAAAGCCCACTGACTGAGTAGGTAAGTACCTACCTATGTAGATGACATTGTCAAGCTAAACGTTGTGTTGTGGGGTCATAATGTAATAGGCTAGATGACAAACAATTAGATATTTGTCCGTCAGATAATTAGAAAATATTAGACTCCTATTTTTTATTTTCTTTCATAATTACTTAAGTAATCATAACAGTGCTACATTGAGTTGAAATGGCGCCTTACGTCACGTCTATGTAAGTATGTAGATTTTTTACTTGGAAGTGATGTCACGCGACATTTCAACTCAATACACCACTAAATTTTTATCACCGAAAAAAAAAATTCTGGGTAATGAGTTATTGATACTGATCCCATTTGTGCAAAAAAAGAAGTTAAATAAAGCGACTCAAAATGTCCTCCTAAAATTGGTAATTTATGGTCACACGCGTCGCTAGCACTATTTAAGTATTATACGATAATGTAACACTTATTAGAATTCAAAATGGTCTAAGTTAGCTAAGTATGTAATAATAACACTGGAAGCGTGGTCGAGGCGTGAGCGAGACAGACAGATCGATGCAACGTGCGAGCGCGTACGACTACTCTAGCGAGCAGCGGAGTGACAAAGCTGTGACGCGTAAAATACGGACAAACGAAAATTTAATAAAAAAATTAACTTTATGAAAAACATTTCTTTTTCTTTTGCTTTCAATATTCCACACGTTTCTACATAACCTGTTAAAATTTTTTCGGTGATAAAAATTTAGTGGTGTATAATACAGTAACTATTCGATTATGAAAAAAAAATACGTGTCCAATATTTTTTTATTATCTGTCTGACGGACTAAATAGAATTTCGATTTCATTACCCAGTCATCAAAATATAGTCTGCCTGTCTGCCCCCCTAGACAAAACGCACTTTTTGATCGAATCGAAAATCGAATCCGTCAAAACTCCATACAAAAAAGGGGCTTTTCGACCACTTTTCGACTGGTTTGGCCTACTCCTGGTCTAGACCCACTGATCTGCTGTCATCTCAAGTTTTCTACATAATTGGTTCATCAGTTCTAGGAGCAGAATTAGTAGCACCAGGCAGGGCAGGCCGAGACCTCCTACTGGACAGCATAGGGCCGGGCAGTCTGGGGTCGCCCCCACCCAATGTGCCTCCCGAGCTGACTTGCATCAGCGAGGAGGGCGGACTGGATTTGGACCTGGATCTGGACATACCAGAACACCTGTTAGAGGACCTGGACTGTGGTGGTGATTGTATCACTAGTTGTAATAAGGTAAGGTACTTTATTGAGGTGTCAGGAGCTATCGGATACTATAGAGAGAGCCCATTGGATTGGCAATGGTCTCCGAAAACCCATTGAAATTCGGCATTATCTTTACGAGAAGACATATTCAGCTGTAAAACTTTGAAATATAAAATTTTCGATCCTTTTGGGGAAGAGAATAACATTAACGAAAGAAATCCTTGGACGTTTTAGTTACTTTTAACATCATCGTCAGCAAAAAACTAACAAAAGTTCGACCAGATTTTTTGTGATCGAAACACTTTTCATGAACCAACCCTATTCGAATTATTGACGCCAGTGTAAAGCTGGGTCCAGGCGGGTGTAACGCGTAATGGAATGTATCGTGTAATGTAATGGAAATAGTATGGGCAGCACTTTACATGTAATGCTCGTAGTGCCGTTCACACGTAGAAATCGTGTTCCATACATTACACGATATTACATTACACTTTACACCCGTCTGGACCCACCTTACGGCATTATTGAACGTGACAAAATTATGAATCAAAATTAAAACCCTTGTATTTCCAGGTCGAAAACTACTTGATGTTGAGCGAGTATGAAAACAACCTGATAGCAGAGCTGCCCAACTTAAACGAGCGGCGCAACCGGCGCTGGTCAATCGTGGTCTCCAACTCCCCCCAGGCTTCCACCATAGAACACCAGGACTCCCCAGAACACAGGAACTCCATCAAGTGGAAGAAGAAGTGCCATAACACAAATAATAGACTGATTACAGTGATCAACGAGGCCTCACTGTGAAATGCTAGTGCGTTAATGTTGAGACAATAAATAGCGTAATCGTTTAGTGTACCTATTTAACCTCATTAATTTATTTGATGTGTGTGAATAGTAGCGTTTGTGTATTGTTCAGTATAATTTATTAAATTATTATAAAATATTAACTTTCATTATTCATCCCGAGTTTATAGTGGTCCGAAACAAATATATGGTTAATTAATATTTACTAGTTATTTATAGCAGTAATAAAGCATAACCAAAACTTGTCGGTCGATAAACAACTATTTCAAAATAAAGCAATAACAGGAACTCTACAATTTCCTCTTTAGAACGCTTGAGACTACTGATTTGTTTTTCAGCTAGAAAGTAAGTTACATATTTATTGTTTTGTACCTGGATTGAGACCATTAAAACACAGATTACAATATGTTAATTAAATATATTATTGACATTTTGTAATAATAGACAGTATAACTGGGTGAATAATGCACCAAAATACAAAGGAACACAATATACTTATTACGAATATATTACCGTTGCGGAATTACAATATCCTCTAAGAACTGGGCGAAGCAACGCATCGCTTGCAACAGCGCTGCCAGCAGTATCGACAGCGACAGACTGACCAACTTCTGACTCTCAGAGCTCACAATTTCGTTGTTCACAGGAACTAAACTTTGGCTAGTACCTACACTATGTATACTTGAATAATCACAATCGACCTTATCATTTGTACCAACAACCTTCTTCTCGCGCTTACCAGACTCACGAACATTATTGACATCACATGTCAGATCTATCACAATAAAGTCCGAAACGATTTTATCACTTTTCCCGATCGCCAAGTCACTGTCTCCGCCCAGGTGTAGCCCGGTTTTAACTTCATTAATAACACTTACATTAGTAACATTGTTCGAACAACACGGAATCTCATTCCAGCGCTGAGCACATTGAGGTTCACTGGATAGGCACTTTATTACTTCGTTTTTTAAATTTGAACTTAATTTTAGGTTAGAAGCACTCAGTAACAATTTTAGCGAGTCGTCGTTTTCTTCGGACGACATGCCACTGTCGTTGTCCACTTCGTTTGTTTCGTTATCGTTCGGTGCTTTAATGGTCGTACTACCAAAACTGCCGTAAAAAGGTGAGTTTGGAGTTAGGGCAGACGGCTGGAGGGGCGTGCCCTGTGGGGGCACGGCCGCGGGTCAGGAGGCCCGGGCGCGGGCCGGGCTGCCCTTTATGACGGCGCTGGCTGCGAACTCCTGGGTGCCGTACAGGCTGTCCACGTCGGCCAGCGACGCGTTGCTCAGGCAGTCGTCGTCGAGCAACATGTCGGATCGTAAGCCCTGAAATACATTTAATATTTTTTTAAAAGGAGGCAAGTGATTGACGAGATCGTGTTAGTACCAATAAATGAAAATTAAGAGTGTGTAGTTCATATACATAGGTAATACACCTGAAATTATACATAAGAAGTTGACAAATGGAATCACGTTTCATATCAATAGATAGAGACTATATGATCCTATCAATCATTTAAATTAATACGTAACTATTTTTTAGTGAGATCATGCATCAATGCATCATCCGCCGCAACGTCCATCGAACTTTTGTGTCGAAAATTTTGTCGAACAAAATACATGTAATTTTTTCTTTGGTATGTGCTCGGTGTTTTTGTCAAGCGTTTGAAGGAACATATTTTTTAGTTTCTTTTTTTATCTCAACAAATGATATGAATTAAAGATGTTCCACTTCAGTATATAGTTGGCGCACACATGAGCAATCGACTGTGACTTTTTAATTGACACATTCAAAGCACGAACAAGACAGTGTTTATTTAAGTTAAACAGAACATACAAACCTCTGAAAAATACTCGTATTCTTTCTCGAAAGACAATATAAATACACAAAATATTGCTGCCAGCATGTAGCCACATAAAGACGTGATTAGAAGACATAGATAAACTCCACTGGAACCACCTGGAAAACAAGAATATTTACCTTAATGACATTTAAATACAGTTCACTTTAGTATAGTAAATAAGTGACAAATACTACCTCTAGGCAAAAACGAGGTGATGGTGCCGAATATCGCCATTACAATTAGAAGTAGGAAGCTCAGGTTGGCCAGACATTGTCGAAGCACTGACAAGTTCTTGTCATAATACAGCGTGGATGCGTAAGTTGTTATAATGCACTGAAACAATCAACTTGAATAAATTACAATGCTTTTAAATCGGTCAAGTGCGCCTATTACGGCACGCTCGTTCGTTCGTTCGTTTCAGCCGAAAGACGTCCACTGCTGGACAAAGGCCTCCCCCAAGGATTTCCACAAAGACCGGTCCTGCGCCGCTTGCATCCAGGTACCTCCCGCGACCTTCACCAGATCGTCGGTCCACCTAGTGGGAGGCCTGCCCACGCTACGTCTTCCAGCTCGTGGTCGCCACTTAAATTATTACGGCACGCAAAGGTTTAATTCAGTTGCGTCCCCGTATATGAACCATTTGTTAATTGAAATGGGTTCCAACTAGAGCACGACGTATTAAGTTATTCATTTGAACATTTTTATATTTCAATTTCTATAAAAGCGACGTCGACAATCGGCATATTCTTCCTATAAACCATAACTGCAGTACAAAACGGGTTCGAATCCCGAAAGGTAAAAATGGTAATGTCTACATTATACGAAAATATAGCATCACAAATTCTGGGCTTAGTTTGAAGCCATTTAATTGAGATTAATTTAGTTGAATCAGGATGATAATCATTGATTTTGGAGACAATTGAATTTTTAATTTTCTGCGAAGGACCAAAATTCCGTTAAGTTTGGAAAGTAAACAGACTTTAATAAAGTACCTAATAGGCATAGGTACAGACGACAGCACATCAGACTACACATTTTTGTTGCAAAGTCGCCCATACCACTACCACGTAAGATACCACAGTGTTTACCTTGATGTACCGTTGCTGTAGTAGGTACATAAAAACGCTGCCAGCCATGGTTATTGCCTCTGAAGTCATCAAACGCAACATTTTACGCCATAGCTTTAATTGTGTATATTTAAAAAAGTAGACCAACAGTCGCCTATCTAAGTACCGCCTTTGCATAACATGAGGTAATTCTTTGATGGTGGCTCTTGTTAACATTTCGACATACAATCGCGTGATAAAACTTATATAACGGTACCTACCTAAGTTGCATTTTTAAATGGAGACAATTTACAAAAAAGGGGTCAGCGTTCGTGTAATTGGATCCTGGTCGAATTGTATGGGTACGTGGCGGGAAGCCGCCGCGGACGTGACTCATTCACTCCTTTTTACCCTACTCATTATAATGGCCTTAATTTTAGAACTTAACACCGCATTATACAGTTCAAATTGATTTTTAGCCGTTCCTTTAGTTTAATACCTATAAAGTAGATACTTATTATAACAACTTCTAGATGACTTATAATCAACTTGCTTCTATCCCACGTGGACTTAGGTCTATGACTCTCACGTGGACTTGGGTCTATTACCGAAACAAAGCATTTTATGTTTTATATCGCCACGTGAAGTGGCGTGTTCGCCAAATGCATTTTAAACTAGGATATTGAATGGTTAAGCCTCGTAATATTTATCTTGGCTACAAAAGGAAGTAACTCTCTACTAATGCTAAAATTAATCGAGATTGGTTCAACGTGAAAACGTACTTTCGCATTTTTTCCAAGTTAGCAATAATAATTACGACTAAGAGAGGTGTAATTATTAGATCAGTTTTGTCTTAATTATTACTAGATACGCACCTGCATCCATAAGTATAAAGTTCCAAATCCACATATAAAAATATTCAATGCAGTTATGCATTGGTTATCCACCTGAAAGCGAAATTGTTAATTTAATTACCAAAATTCTTAGAAATTAATTACGTATTGAAGTGCTTTGCAGTCGAGGGTCTATTCTGCATGAGAGAAAATGGCCATCTTCTGCAAATTACCCTTTTATAAGCCGGGTCCAGACGGGTGTAATGTGTAATAGATGTAAGTAATCCACCGTGTAATGTAATACGACTACGTATGGACGGCACTACGACCATTACATGTGGTGTTCTGTAATACAGGCTTGCAGCCTAGCTCAGACACCAGTCTCCCGCAATCTAAGTGTCTGTCCACTACATTTAATTGTAATTTAAGATAATCACCTTACATTGTAAACCTTTAGATTTAGATTGTGGGAAAATAAAGAATTTATTATTATTCCTTTATTCATCTTACTTTCTTATTTTTAATTTTTTCTTTTTACAATGTAATTATTATCAAAAAATAAAAATACATTATAAAAACAAAAATCTTAAAAATAGTTAACCCGCTGGCAGCGGAGCAGGGCCCAGGCTACCGGTGGTCAGGGTCACAGGCTGAGGAACTATTATTATTATTATGTTTGTACGCTTTGGAGCTCACGGGTCAAAAGTGGCCCGGTCCTTTATAAGGCTTGCGTGGGGATACAGATCCAACACGTAGAGGCCGTTTTAAGCGCAAAATAATCGACAAAGTGAAAGTGGTGCACATGCTGGATCTAGTCTCTGACTATATCATGGGATGTAGCCAGAGACCATACCCAGCCTGTGCACAGGAGCTATTGCAGTTATTGGAGAATGGACTAGGGTTATGGATGAAGGATGGATGGACTGGTTACTGGGCTATGGATGGAGACTACTGGACACCTGCCTGGTTCATAGTCTCGGACTGAAAAAATGGCAGGCGGTGACTAGCCAGCGACTAAATGGGCCCCCCCTGGCGTCATGGGTCGTATAGACCGGACTGAGGGGCAACATTGGCGTCTGCCAGCTCAGGGGTGTAGAGAGGTGTGCTGCGCTTTCTCCGAAGTTACTCGCGGCGTTATGCCCTTTAACACTTCCACCCCTGGAGCATATAGCTCTAGCGACTCCACTCTGTCCGGCCGGTTAAGGCAAGCCAGAGGTGAAAGTCCTGCAGACCCTCTCGGATTCCACTTCGGCAAGCCGAAGACGAGGGTCTTGACCGACTCTCGGGAGCACTCGGATTAACAACTGGCCCCGTGGTGTCGCTACTCACCAATAGCTCGCCACAAATAAGTTTCGTGCAACCATTTCTCATACTAAGTTCACTTTACGACACGTTCACAAGGGCGCTGTTTTAGTTTTCGTACCTACTAAATCTTTTGATGGCGATTCGAATACGCAAACGAAGTCGAAAGTTTTTCTTGCTAGAGGTAGGTACTGGACCCGGCTTTAAATACACAACTTTAAATACATACCTTGAACAAGAACAGAAATAAATAAACGAGGAAGCCCGCAGACAGGAGGGAGGCTGAGAAGGAAGCAATCCTATTCGCAAACGAAGTCACATTTGGGTTTGGTGTTAGTGAGCCTAGAATATGTATTTGCTGGTATCTGTCATATATGATTTTCCCAGCTGCAAAAAATGATTGTTAGCACACCATTATTAATCATGTTAAATGTATTATGTTTTAATTAGTGAATAAAAATGATAACACCCTGTATAATAATTTTAACACGGTCTTTTCATTCTCAGGTAAGTAAATAAAGTTATGAGTTATTTGTTTGAATAATTCGTAATATTAAAATAGCTATAAGAACAATAACGTCGTTTTGAGGACCTTGGTCCCCGAGCATAACACCCGCTCGGAAGGAAGCACTAACATCTAGCTTCCTTATTGTGGACGAACATCATATCCCACATATATTATAGGAAGTCTGCCGTTTGGTGTAGTGGTTCAGAACGGACTACTATGCCGAGAGGTCCCGGGTTCGATTCCCGGCCGGGCAGAAATTGAAATGATGAATTTTAATTTCTGTGACGGGTCTGGGTGTAAATATGTATAATATGTATGTATTTAATTAAAAAAAAAGTATATAAGTAGTATATCCGTTAAGCTAGCACCCATAACACAAGCATTGAGTTGCTTACTTTGGGGCTAGCTGGCGCTGTGTGAAATTGTCCAAAGATTTATTATCTGACAGCATCAGAATTCCAATCACGTACGCGAAATACAAAGTTTATTCGGATTTATAAAGGTTTGTTGAAAGTCACATAGCAATTGGAATCTTAAAGATAACAATACGCCCCTGGCTGGCTATGATTATCTTTTGAGCAACACAAAAAAAAACATTTATTTTTATTTCTCTTTGATACTGTTTTTTATAAATCTTAATCAAGGCTGTTGTAAAAACCTTAAGATGTCTTTTTATATGGTTAATCATAATAAAGTTAACCTTAAGTTAATGGCACAAAAAAATATCTGAAACCAAAAGGAAATAAACAGAAGCACTTGGTCTTGAAAACACTTTAGGGCTTTTAAGAAAAAATTTGACAATAATAATAATATTGTATGTACTAGGTATATGCCTGACTTAAGCAATGTAATCTTCAATTGAAAGCTGAATTTTTATTTGTAAAAAGAAAGCATGACTATTTAGGTCAATTCTGTACATGAAATATATTTTCAAAATAACTATCAGGGGGTGATTACTGATCGATACTAATGCCAAAAATGCAATCAGTAAAATCTTTGTCTGTCTGTCTGTCTGTCTGTCTGTATGTTCCTTATAGAAACAAAAACTACTCGACAGATTTTAACGAAACTTGGTACAATTATTCTTCATACTTCTGGGCAGGTTATAGGATACTTAAGAATGCCCACGGGAACGGGAATTAGCGGGAAAATTCTTTTGTATGAAAAATCTAAACCGCTTAAGTTAGACGCTTGAAATTTGGCATGCAGGTACCTTAGTAAACTTAAAGCTTAGTTACAACAGGATATTGCAAAATTCCCACGGGAACGGGAGTTAGCGGGAAAAAACATTTGTATGAAAAAATCTAAACCGCGTAATATATACGCTTGAAATTTGGCATGCAGGTACCTTAGTAAACTTAAAGCTTAGTTACAACAGGATATTGCAAAATTCCCACCGGAACGGGAGTTAGCGGGAAAAAAAATTGTATGAAAAAATCTAAACCGCGTAAGATACATAGATGAAGGGGGTAAAACGGGATCCACGCGTACGAAGTCGCGGGCGGCCGCTAGTTCATTCATATAACTAGCTATGTAAAGGTATGTACATACAGTGTACACATAATTAAGTAGTATAAGTTTGTGTGAAGATATCAATAGATATAATAAAAATATAGATTCGAATCGGGCCTAAGTCACAGAACTTAGGGCGCGTGAACACACAAGGGCTATAATTTTTTTAAGAATTGTCTTATCTCACAATTCTTTTTTTTTTTGACAGCGACAATGTTTTTTTTAATGCCCGTGTTCACACACATCTCAAATCGTGATAAATGACAGGTTATATCAAGTACAGTCTTCTAAAATCACATTTGTCAAAAACAGAAATTGTTAATGTAAGCCTTATATTAAAAACTTCAGTGTTTTGAGTACTTGTTTTAATTGCCAAATAATATGGAAATGTAAATTTAAACCTGACATGTTGCTCTTTCAATATTTTGACAAATTGTAAAAAAACATGATTCTGTATGAAATGTGAATGACGTATTGTTTTGATGGCATATTGTCTTTTTTGATGAATTAATGACAGATCCTGTGTGAATGCGCCCTTACAAATTGTAAAATATTTAGTAATCAAAAAGTTTGAATACCTATAAACTTTTGTGCTTGCACTATAGTGCATTAAAATTGTTTTGCGCAGCTGATTCAGCCATCACCGCCTGATGCAATGATTTGAAAAAATATTGCCTTGCTGCCTAAATGTTGCTTGTTATAAACATTACAAACAATCCTAACCATACAATACAACAAGTACCTGCTCAACATGCAATATTAATTCATATCAAGTAAGTAGTTTAATATTTTGTAAACAAAAAACTTATGTCATGATTCTGATGAAATGTAATTAGCCACAGTATTTGAAATGGTGAACAAAACCACATTAGTTACAAGTTAAGTATTAGGTAAATTGTTACTTATGTACCCGCAGTTGCTAGGTTTCAACATTACAGTTTACATAATAAAGATATTTGCCTCTCACCTATTACTCCGCTGGCTAGGTACAAAAAAGCAAGGCCAGTGTCCAAGGAATTCGTCTCTTGCGCAACTTGAAAACAAAGGCTGAAACGTGAAAATAAACAATAAATGCTCTAATAATATCTTTTTAAGCAAATTTACACAAAGTAAAAGTGAAAGTTTCACGAAATTGTCAAGCAGAAGACCAGTTACAAGTTTCTAGAAACACTGAATTTTTATTAACGATCAGTTGCACTCTGATTTATAATTTTTATGCATTTTTAAATTAATTTAAAACGCGTTCTAAGATTTAAGACGGCAATCAATTAGAAAAATAAAAAATGCTCCAATTAAATACGACAAAACACAAAGCGCAAAAAATATAGTGAAATACTTACGATAGTATAAATGTTGAAGATAGTATAACAAGCCCACACTTAAAAATCAACATATTACAGAAAAATAAATTATTAAAATTAACACACACCGTCCCACTCCCTACAGTGTTTATTGACAACTGAACTGTCAAAATAATCAAACCAAAAACTGACATAGGTACAGAATCAGAGATGTTACGAAAGGTAGTGAGCGAGCCGTGGGTGTGTGCTCCTTCGCTCCGTTCGCTGAGTGGACTGGCTGGGTGGCTGGAATGGCTGGTGGACCGCAGAACCGCAGTTGTACTCTTGTCCACAGATGAGACAGGGCTCTTGTCTGCCGACAGTTTAGTCGCGGCGTGGATCAGTGTGTCTAAAAAAGCTAGCTAGTAGCTAGACAAAGTGCACATTATTTTATTAAATCGCAAACCAGTCGAAAAGTGGTTGCAAGTTGCAAGGCCTTTGTTTGTATGGTTTTGATGGATTCGATTTTTGAGTCGATCAAAAATTGCAACGTTTTTAGGGGCTGTATTCTGTAATCCATATCTGTGGCTGTATTAGAAAAATTACTAGCAATTCTAAGCCGTTTTCTCACACAAAATACAAGCGTATAA